GGAACATTACACATAAATGTGCGCGATTGTTGCCATTCATATATTATACACATATGCTGAATAAATATATATATATATGTACGTACTTTTAGCATTCAATTATGATCAATATTTCATACCGATGCGGAAATAATATTGAAATATTTTATGCAAAATATGCTGTAGTGAAGTAAATTGCCTCTAGGAAAACCTGGCGTTAGTACAACCCAAGAATAAGGATCAAATTTTTCTTCTCCACATTATACAGAAAAATTTACATAAATACTGTACGAAAAACTACTTGAATGCTATGTATTTTCTGTGTGATCAAACGTTTTACACATAAATCCTAACTTCACGTATGTGTTATCAAAGACATATCACACAGTTGCACTTATGATAAAATTATTATTTGACGCTTGTGCATTTTGAAGGTTTGATTTTATGTGTGAAACGCCTGTTGGCACAGCAAATACATACATGTTTGTCAGTTTGTTACTACCAACTCATACGAATATAGATCCGTAACATAGAAATACCATAACATTTCTATTTCATCCAAAATTGACACCATAATCTTGTACAAAAGCCTTAAGTCAATCCACGATTTTTTTAGGTTTGATCTCATGGTGTATTTTTTATGGTTTTATCTGCTCATCCCAATTTTTTTCCTCCTTCAATTCCCTGTATTTTTGCTCTTTCACCAAATAGTCAATAAGATGCATTTTTATCTACCTAACCTTTTCATTTCTAATATTATGCAATTCATAGGCGTCACATAATAATTGCATGTATTTATAGTTACGTGCCACTGACCTTTTCTGGTAGCAGTTGATTATATGTCTTCTGAGATGTTAATTATATATATATATATATATATATATATATATATATTTATATTAGGTTGTCAAATATCTCCCTTCCGCTTTCTTGCTTGAAATTCAAAAGACAAAAAGGCGGAAGGGAGATATTTGACAACCTAATATACTAATGATAAAATTTACCATGGGTTACTGGTAACATAGCATAGCTATATTATCCAAGAATACCCATCAGATTTAGGGGAGGTGGGTTTGAAAAGAACTTACGAAATTACATGCATATAGAAGTAACATACCACGTGTATTCAATTTTTACCTGTATTTTCAAAAATAAATCAAAAGCGGGGTAATTTTAAGTATCATGACGTATCACCAAGGGAGAGGGGTGATCCAAAAATCCCTAAAGAAAATCAATCACGTGATTATTGGACGCTTCTTTAGTTCGCCGTTCAAAATCAGAAAATATCTTAGTATAAATAAATTTCTTAGTATCAGAAATATTCCTTATTCTAACCAATGAAAATTAAATTTACTTTCAAACAGTATCTATCAATTATTGATTATTTGTACAAGATTCACTTTCAATTTCCTTGGAATTGTTTTTGATTCGGTAGTCAATATTTTTTCCTCTACAAAGTTCGCCTCTTTTAAAAGCTTTTACATTTTATCGTGACATTCCTCATAAAACTAGTTATTATATTATCTATCTTCGCCGTGCTCGGTATTTCTGCATAAAAATATGGGAGAAATGTTAAGCTCTCGGCGGTTCCGCAGATGAAGAAGTGCGTTCACTCACTCACTCATTCACTTCCTTATTTGCGTTGAATATTTTAATGCGTTTCATTTCTGACATTTTATTACTCTCGTTTCAATTGAGCACTTAAACGACGGGTAAAAGAATGTTAGATGTCTGTTATATGAATGCTGATGCCCAGTACTTCAGTTAATCTTTATATTTAAACAACTTTTCATAGGCCTGTAATATTTCACACCGGTCAGTTTGAGCACAAAATTTTATCCCAGCCAGAAAAGTGTAAGAAGCAATTTTTTTGCCTAGATTTCACAACTTATCAAATAAAAATGGCACCTTAACTTACATAAGAAAGTTTCGACGTACGAGCCATCAAAAGTGCGTTACGAGCAAGATTTTAGGTACGAACTTAGAGCGAGTAAGAGTTTTCTAGAAAAATGTTGAAGACAAAATGAAAATATGAAAAATTTGTCAGTTGCAGCAATGATTTTCCTACTATAGAAATAGTTTGGCTGTTTTTTGATAGTAAATTCTTTCATAGTTAGTCATTTCAATCATATATCTATATTAATTGTGTAGTAATGATTTACCCACCACTGAGAATTATTTTAACGTTTGAAATTTTGACTACACAACATTTTAGTGATTGTACAGTTATATATGTGGGAGTTTGCGTTTTTTGTACTTTTTATACATTTACAAAATATTTGTTACTTTCATAACCATAAGTACACAGAAAATGACCATTTCCCTTGAATTAAAGTATGAAATTATTGAGAAATATGAGGATGGTTATAGTTACATCATATATGTACTAAGTTTGAACAGAATGAGTTGATGATAATAAGCAACTTTCTGTGCTCCAAAACAGATTTGTAGATACCAATCATCCCGAAAAAGTTACAATATTTCGGGAAATGGGAGTTGTTCAACGAAACATCATTTCCACAATATCTGGAATGGACAGACAAAATAATAATTTAATCAATAAATAGTTTTTTTATATTCAAATAATTTAGCAAAAACCACAATGCTGGTAAGAATTAATGTGCTTAGCGATGGGATATAGACGTATTAGATCTATTAGATGTACAATTCACAATTTTCAAAGATAACGAACAACCAATATACAAAATACAATGAAGGAATGCTAAAATAATTTTGTGTTTGATTTTATGAAACTTGATATTAAGTTTTCGTTTAGAGCATCTTCAAATGTTGAGGTCCTGTATATCCATTGATTCGCAGAAATCTTTTCGCTTTTGTGAAAAGAGAGTAAATTTATGACATTACAATGTATTTATACGGAAAAAATTGCTTCGAGATACGAGCATGATTACGGAATGAATTAAACTCGTATATTGGGATACCACATTAAAAAAAATAAGTAGCCGAGATGCATAAATGTAACCAATTGCCTTAACAGTAAAATATCACAAGTGATAATTAGATTCTGGATCAGTGTCAAATTCGCGTGCACCATCAATTTCCTTTTCTATCATAAATCTAATTTATCGCCGCTTAGCATTATTATCGCGAATCGTGTGAAATTGACCTTATAAACCTCGACAAAATCACTTTATCTAGTTGTTGTCGGAGTTTCGAGTGTTCCAATTAGACAACGGTAGCGACTCGGCTGGATTGTAATTTTAAAAACTGTAAAACCGGTTCGCCGGCAGCATTCTCTCTCTATTGAAAACAACTATTCGAAAAGTGAAGAAAAAATAGCAAATCTGTTGATATTATAGGTATATATGCACATAGGAAGTGTGCTTGGAGCAGAAAACAAGCACAGGGCCGGAGGTGAAAGAATTATTATATGTCTACAAATTGATTGTACAAAAGGTGTGATTTTTCACTTTGGTGAAACTTGATTGTTGAACAATAAACGTCCGTATTATAAGCTGGTGTGATGATTTGATTAACTAACTACGTCGGTCGTCAATCAATCCTATTCTATTTCTGTTAGTAATTGGTTGATCTATTGGTAGCTAAGAAGAAACCGTCAAAAATCTTTGCCTATGATGTTTATACGGGCGTTTATTAACTTCCCGAAGGAGAACTTTGTTTTCATAAAAAAATTCGATTCGCTAATTTTGTTTTATCGATCTTTCAAGCCATTCTGAATCGATTGAGACCAAATTTGGAAAAAGTATGTGTGTGTGAGTGTATGTGTGTGTGTGTAACGACTGTACCGATTTCAAAAATCTAAAAGCCATTTGATGTATCTCAATGAGGACTAGCGTTTCTGAGTTTTGTGCGACGATCGGCCGAGCCGTTTCTTTGTAAATTCAGAAAAGAGAAAAACTTTTCGTCCACGTTTTAGCCCGCAGTTCTGAATCGATTTTGAAAATTCAAAAACCGTTTGAAAGATATTGGTTGGGAATCGTGCTGATTAGTTTTCGGTAAAGATCGGCTGGGCCATTTTTATGTAAAAAATCAACGATTTTTATGATTTTTTTTATATTAGATACCATAGTCTATATTATATATATTATAGATCATACTAAAATATCACGACCCTACGACAAGTCGTTTAATTTTAAAAATTCGTCAAAGTTTGCAAAAAGTAGTATCGTTTTTTTGGCGTTTGTCAAAATTAGACCTTTCATCGATGTTTGCTCAAAAACGCCTGAACCGATTTTAAAATTTTAATACCCTATCGACATATTTCTGTGTGGATTAACTTGTCTCAGTTTTTTTGCGATGATCTGCTGAGCCTTTTTTTTGTAATTTGGAAAAAGGTGTTAAACGTTTTCGTCCACACTTAAGCTTATACTACCGAATCGATTTAAAAAAATCAAAAACTGCTCGGAAGATATTAGTTGGGAATGATACGAATTAGTTTTTGGTGAAAATCTATCGAGCCGTTTTCTTGTAATTAACTGTTGAAAAAATAATTAAGCCGATTTTTATGGAACTATTTTAGCGATGTATATAATGGTCTTATAGAACTTACTGAAATATTACGGCCTTAAGCCGTAGTTTAATTTTGAAAATTCATCAAAGTTAGAGAAAATGAGTTGTGTTAGAGAAATGACGTTTGTTAAAGTTAAAATAAGACGATATACTTGGTATAACGATAGAGTGTTCGTTCGTTTTCAATGATATGTGATAAATCAACTCGGAATACTTTTAATCACTAATAAATTAATTTGTTTTTTATTGATGAGGTCGATTATACGCACATATCGGGAAGTGCATGTAACTTGGCTCAAGGCAAAATACCAAAACTAACCAGTTTGAATTTTTGATACTGTCAACTACACAAAACCAACCCGCAAATAGCAAAAATTTCAAAATGACATTAGTATTCCGGGAAGAAGGCTATATATTAATCCTCATTTCATCAATGAATGACACCAAAAATGAATTTATTAAAGCATTTATTCACTATATGTTTTTTCTAATATTTCAAACTGTTTATTTATTATTGTTTCTTTTTCCAGATAACCAACGATCCCGGCTTCATCCTCCTCGAAGGTGTTTCTCCGAATTCCTCCTCCGACTGGGACAACGAGGACGATTCTCCGGAAGATTCCAACGACGACGGCTATGATGTCGTCGGTCGTATGTCACCTACGCCGCCTGTTGCTGGCAGCAGGCGGAGCCATCAGCCGCAGCAGAAACAAACAGATCCTGGCTGCGATATTGTGTTCGAAGGCGCTTATGTTATCATCAATGGGAGGAGTAGTCTGTCCAATGGGGGAAAACATTCGAATCGAAGCAAGGTAATAAAATACAAACACTAACAATAAAACTACTAAATCAGAATCGGTTCTGGCGCCTAAAATAAAGGTGATTTTTGGGAATTCATATTAAAAAAACTACTTTATCAATCATTTCAAAATTTTGGGAATATATTTATACATGCTTTGAGAATACATAGTAAAATTCTTGAAGAAAAAAAATTAAATATTTTTTAAGTTATCGTCGATGTCCAACGGCGCGACAAAAAAAGGCCCTTTACTGCTGCAGTGATTCCGGCCTTCTACGTGGATGAAATTTAAAAAAGAAAAATGCTTGTTAAACTAGATAATATTTTCTGTAAAATGAACTACGATGAAGAAAAAAAATCAAAAATCGACAAAATGACGGCGTTTTTTTAAAAAAAGTCTAATTTTACCCAAAATTTTGGTCGTTTTTGGACTGCCAAAATTCGATTTTTGATCCGATCAAAAAATCGATAGTTCGTTTTACGAAGAACTATACATAGAACATGTAAAAAAAATTCGATAGTGATCGGATCATTTGTTTTTGAGTAATCACTGCAGCAAATTCGGATTATGCTGTTTCGAGAAAAACGCGTTTGAAGATAAAATAATCGTTATACTATATACTATATATATACTCTTTAAATGGCTGTAGCACAAAAACTAAGATATCGATTTAAAATTTTGATATGTTATTTTTAAAGGTATAACCTATTGAAATATGGAAAAATTGAAAATTCGATTTTTTGAAAATTTCACACTAGTTGTGCCCCCTAATCGTTGAAATTTTTTCGCTGAAATTTATTATGTTGATAGACAATACGGTTCTAAAGAACATACTAAAATTTTATTGCTCTCCGGCAAGTCGTTTAATTTTAAAAATCATTAAAGTTTGAAAAAAATGATAATCAAAAATTGTGTCAAAAGTCGCTTTTGTGATGTGATGAGTCAAAATTTGAATATCACAAATTTAAAAGCCATTTTTTGGAATCAGTGGAACAATAAGTCTACAAAACTTCTCCAGTTATGTAAAAAATATTACTATTAATTTAAATCATTAAATAATATCAGGTACTACGTACATGATATATGTAATCATGCAGTTGAAAATTTTATTTAAATATCTAGATCTCAATTTCGGTTGATTATGTCAATTATTACACATTTCGGGAAGTTTAAGTTATTTTTTAAAACTTTAAATTTTTGTATCAGTGTCAAAAATAAATCACTAAAATAAAAATACTGTTTTATGCGTGATTGCCTAAAATCATTGAATTCAATGGAATTTGGTTTTATAATGTAATAACACTTCATATAATTCAGAATTTTGTTACTTTTTACTATATGCAAGAATAAGAACCCTAGTTAAAAATCATCTAATATAAAATATATTTTTATGTCTTCAAATTGACCGAGTAAATTTTCTTCTTCAATTTCCGAGTTGGTTTAAGACAAAATGTCACTTTCAACTAGTTAATATTATAACGAATTTAACTGGCTGATATCTCTCAATGCAAGCAGTTTTGTTATAACACTATTTAACGATATTTAACAAAGTCTACAAATTACCAACCGGTAAAATGACTACTGACGAACAATACGCAATATCGCTGAATTTTATTTTTAATCGTCTAATTTTATTTGAAAACCTCACGAAGCGTGCCGTCCGCTTGCGGGCATTGAAGAAAGTACGACACAGGAACAGGCAGAGGCAGCCGACCATGATGTTGCCAGAGAACCAACTTTATGAACACTATGAAATACAAACTGATGATCATATCGAGATAAATCTGTCAACGAACTGGAATTTGTGATAAATTGATATTGAGACCAGGTGATGGATTATAGAAGTAACTAGATTTCAAAGCAATGCGAAGAAGACTAATCAGACAAAAGTAAAAGATGAGGAAGAATTTTGACTTTAGGTTGTCTTACAATGAAGTAATAATTTAATTAAAGATGTATCATTTTATTACACATAATCTAAGGTTGTCCTTAGTTCTTGTGTTTAATCATTTTCGAATCTGCGCAGAAGCAAGGAAAATTGATGTGCTTAACAGTTAAAGCTTCCATCTTCCAAGACATTTTGTACATCTAAATAAAAAAACGACAAAACTCAAGTCACGAGATGCTCTTTCCCAATATTTTCCTTATCAGTTTTTCACTTTCCTTAGAGTAAGTTATAGTAATCGCAAAAAAATTAAAAATGAAATTTTTTATATAAATTTTCGTTTCAAAGCATTTTGAACATTTTGGCATACCTTAGAAAAAATGGATGTATGTGTGTGTGTGTGCGGATACAAATTTTCGCCGACGATTTCGGAATCACGGTTCAACCGATTGATAAGGAGACGTTCTGATTAGTTTTTGGACAAGGCAGGTCCATCCGTTTTGAAGATACAGAGCAAAAAGTGCCAAAAATGGTAATTCAGTTTTCAAGAGAACGACGCGTCCGATTTCAATAATTCAAAAAACATTTTACTTGTATTGACTAAATCAAGAACTGATTTTTGGTGAGGTAGGTCTAATTTTTGGTATGGAAAGTTCCAGCAATTTGCCTTAAGGCACGATGCCATGCCACTAGTTTAGTTCTTAATATCAAGACATCATCAGAAAGAATATTAGGAAGAAAAAGAATATCTTCAATAGTAAAAAGTGATATATGATATATTAATTTACTTACACTATTTACCACAAGCCATAATAAATTATTCACAAGTGTTTATTATCTTCATTCAAGATCAAAAGAACTTAAGGAAGAAAATAGAGATCAAGTGAAAGATCACACACATTATACAAGATCAAGTCAAAACATACTTTTTATTTGCCATTCTTTTTCTCATTTGCATCATTTTAAAATATATGACTTCATTCTAGTAACTAAAAATACACATGATGCTTGGTGGGGCAGGGAGGTAATTTTAAGTCTTACCACATATCATCAAGATGATCCCAAGAGGGTCAAAAAATTCTTAAAAAATCGATCACGTGATTAGGGGGCGTCTATTAATCATATGTGGTTTTTAGGGGAGGGGGGGTTTACAAAAAATCATATTTATTTTTTAACTAATTTTTTTCAAATATTTTCAAAAAACATTCGATTTTTTTTTCTTGTGACCAAAAATACACGTAATGCTTGATGGGGGAGTGGGGTTAATTTCAAATATTACCAAGGGGGAGGGCAAAAAATCCATCACGTGATTAATGGACACTACTAAGTTAATATGCGACGAATATATTAAAACTTGCTTCTCAATTTCTTACATATCTCCTTAATCATAATAAATACAGTGAAACTTACAAATTTTATGAATATAATGATAAATAATATTTCCAAAAGTATATGCATTAAATTTTGAATTTATCATTTAAAACATCTTCATGAACATTTTATATCGAATTTAAAACTATGATAAAGTAGAAATATTAATGTTTGAAAATTTATAGAAGGTATACCAACTAATATATTAATAATAATATTTCTATTACCAAGTAATATGAATATTACTAAATAATTATTATTAACATATGTTATATATACATATTTATATACATAATATATACATATATTGATATAATTATATAATAAATAAAATCATTAACTAGAATGTGATGCATTTACCATTAATTATCTAAGTTCTGAGAAGATAAACTGTCATGATTATGTATGTGAAAACGATAATATTACATAAGAAATAGTCTTTTTTAATGATAATGTTTTTTATTAAAATCGATATTTTATAATATATTACATAAACTTAAAACTTTATCTAAAATTCAATAGAACGCAATGTTATAACATTCAATTCCTGTTTATACAGGATGAATAGTTTATGCATTCGATATGTAATATATACATTATATATATATATATATATATATATATATATTTGTAAGTTGATTGCTTTCCCTGCACTTGTGCAAAGAGAAAAATTAGACAGAAGAGAAAGTGATCATGTACCATTTCCTCAATGTTTTGCCCTATTTTCAAATTCGCTTGAATTATCCAATCGTTGATAAAATTTACGACTTTTTTTAACATACGAGTTGAGTAAATTTATTTTTTGAAAAACGAAATAAGCTGTACAAAAAATTAAGTTTATCCTGAACAAACTTAAGTTTATACGTCATTGTGTAAATAAATGTGTTTTGGCTGTTCTTCGTCTACTAGGACATGAGGGGTCGACACATTTATTAACTTAATGATTGGTAATTCAGAAGAAAATTATTTCATCATTGTCGTATATTATTGATGTGTAATTGTAATATAACAATAATTTTCACAAATTAAATTAAGATTTGACATATATCGCCTAAGAAATTTTGCCTACCAAATCAAATGCTGAAACTGTGAACTCATTTACATAAGTGAAACGAGCCAAAATCTGAACAAACTCCTCGATTAATACAAAAATAATTTAGATAAACAGTAAAATATTCAAAGTCATCATAACAGAACACTACAATAATTTAAATTATAGATTTTTATCCAAAAATAAAAATTAGAAATACTATATTAGGACTAGGACAAAAATACTTCCTATAATGCAGTTTATAGAAACCGTGATTCCGATTGTGTTTAAATAGAGTAGGAGTCCTTTAGGTCAGCACCCAACAGTCCGGAAAGCCCGATAGTCCGGCATGTTTTTCGTTTTTTTTTTTCAGATAAAAACTACAAACGATCGAGGGCTTTTAGTACGTTTTGAGGGTGATTCGGAATCATTCGGAAGGACTTGCTTTTGCTCAGTAATCTTTGTGTCCATGGTAAATTCCGTTTTGTCTATGTTTATGAACAAAGTATGTTGTACGAAATACGTAGTCCCTAAATCGGACTAGATATCATCAAATTTTTGTTTTTTGTAAAAATAACAAAAATGGTTAAATATGTAAATAATGGTTAAAAATATATATTATATATTGTAAAAAATGTAAAATAAGCTTATAGTTTAATTAATAACCTAATTATTTCTATAATTATTTGTCTAGAATTTTTGATAGTCTGATAAAGGGGTCGGTCCCGAGCAAGCCTGATTCAAGGACTTCTACTGTATATATATATATATATATATATATATATATATATATATATATATATATATAAATTCCATATTATAGTCAGTATGTACATAACGGCGAGTCAATGCCAGTACAATGCCGTTGACAGAATTTTCAGTTATGTTTCGCGTACGTGGTTAAACAAAGACCAACATGCGTAATTATAAATAATAACATTTATTTAGAGAATATAATAGAGAATTTTACCTACATTTGTTAGTATTAGAACGGTACTTCCGAGAACTGAAAATCTGCCAATGAAATTTGAATTTTCAAAATTGATATCACTACTGCATGATATCAAGTCGTTCGGACTGCAGATTTGACCCAGTAACTTCTAATTGATTCTATGACATTTGAAATTATTACATTGGAGGTGCTGCCCATCTAAAATATTTTCTAGTACAATTATCCTTATCATTTGATACTTTGATCGTTGTATAATCCATACTACCAATTTACTTCCAATAAACGTAATCGATAACGGCGATAAAATAGCCATTATTTTCAAGAAACTGTCGTAATATTTATACGCCAATGATGATAAAGGAGAATTTAATATCGTATAAAGCGTCATTAAAATATGAATGTAATTATGATTATTATTTTAAATAAAATATTTTTGGAATTATAAACATTTTCTACAGACATGTGCAGTGTCTCAGTTGAAATTTTCGCGATATTTATGACACTTTAATCATGAAAGTGCCGACTACGTATTTGCCGTTAGAAAACACACTTTTGTGACAAAATCAACAATAGAAATTTTGGGATTGTTTGTTCTGAGATATTTTTTACATTGATGCAAAAATAAATATTAAGGTATCACAAGAATTAAGTTCTAAGCAATCTCAGAAAACTTATGGCATCACGCCTTGAGGCAAATTGCTGAAACTTTCCGTGGAAATGAACCTCATTTAGAGAAATAAAGTAATTGCTGATTAATAAATTCTATAATATTTGTTCACATAGTGGATTATGTTAAAGAACGCCTAAACAAATATTGTTTTGGCAACTTTACTCATCATGTAATTGTGTTTGAAGAACTTCATGTAATTAAAATTAACATACATTCATTGACTGCTTGTATTTTTTTTACTTTTCCGCTGGCGATATAATCTCATTCTTTGAACAGCTGTAATATCTGCCTTGACTAAAAAATATTTTCTATTTTAATAACTTCAAAAATTTATAGAAACTACGAATAATATAGAAATAATACTTTCTAATCAATAAAATTAAGTTTAGTACACGGCACAAATTTTTAATTTGGTTTATTATTTTCAAGGAACAGGGTATATAATATTATTCTGATTCAGACATTTTTCATTAAATCAAGATTTGTACTACGATGTAACTTAAAAATGTTTATTTATTGTTGGCGATTTTCTTGTTGATATCGGTACGCATACAACGACACATCTCTATTCACATACACGACGATCAATCACAATCGACCCGTATTGAAATGATCTCATCGAGAGCGAAGGACGTACAGTTCTTGGCGTAACGCTATTTTCGTTGCATTTGTACGGATTTACACCTAAGTCGCGCCTAAAGAAGTTTTACTTCAAAAATATTATATAAAAAATAACTGATATTGTAGAAAAACAGCAAAATTTTCAAGACAAAATTTAATTTTCAATCATCAAGTGCCATGCACAAGATTAGATGTCTTTTTTTCGCCGGACCTTCAGCGTACGACTCAATATATATTTTTTGCGACATGTATATGTATGTTTTATTTTTATAATATACAATGTAGTTAAATTATCTATGTACATATATGTATATACAAAATCCCTGTTGTGTTCAGCGAACCTAAACGCCGCGATTCAGTCACCGCGCCGTTGCGTTACAGCAGCCTAGAAAATTGTTCTGAACGCGGTTGAAGAAAAAAAATCATATTATTCACGAATAACACGTTCGACGTTATTAAATTTACCTAAATAGATGTATAAATGACACTGAAGAGATGACATGATTTTTTTGCAAAATTTACGTCAAGATTGTTATGCGAAAGCAGGGCTGAGTGTTTTTTTTCAAAGTCTAGTAATTTTGATGAAAAGTGATAAGAAAGTAAAATTAGGAACTTGGGAAAATGACATATTTTCATTTGAAAGTTTTGCGGTTTTGAAAAATTTATATATATGATATGTTAATCAGTATGTGGAATAATAAATTAATGATTTTAGTTGTCCTTCTATAATTAATTTATCATTTAAACGAGGACACTACAATCGATCAATGATCGATCACAAATTACTACTAATACTCTAATTAAGATATTAGCTATTGTTTCTTTAAATGATATATAACAGACCATAAAAATAAAGTGGCATCAGAAAGAGACTGCGTTTGACATTTAGAGAACAAACACAATAATATCAAAGTTGGTAGTTAATTTTTATTAGACTTCCTATAAATATTGAATGGTAATAAGTATATTAAAGATCCTTTCCGAAACCTTCAGAGAAAGCGAAATCTCTGGGAAAACACTATATGGTCCTTTCCTTAATATGAATATTTTCTAATCTATTTGCACCCAGGCTCAAATTCTTCCAAATTGATAAAAATAAATCTCTGAAAGTTTTAGCTCTTAATATTAACTTTAAGATAGTCCACACTCCAACCAAAGTTTATATGAACTCATTGACAATTTTTTCTTTAATTTTCTCATCAGTACTTCTGTACTTAGTTCTTGCATGTTGCCCAAATCAACACATTTTGTTATTTTTTCTCCGAATGTCTAATATCTATCTATAGCTACTATTTTTTTTAATTGATGCATTTTTTAACAATTTGATCATGTATTTCTCAGAAAAAGCAATATGCAAATTGTATGAGGCATACAAAATTGCCAAGTGCGAGGTGAACTCGTGCACGAAGGTTGCATATACATAGTTTTTATCACTTTTACTTGCAGTAAGAAAATGATTCAATGAAACTTGTGGCAAAAAGATAGTTTTAAAAGTTTTTTTAGTGGAAACACTTTGCAGGTGCATAGTATCTATAATATTTATTTTATTTTTCAATTATTCTAATATTTTTTATTTTTTTTTTGCAGTTGCACATTCAATTCGACGACGATAAGTACTTACGAATATCCTTCGGAAGCTTCACTGTTAGAAGACACAGAAGTCTCTTCTCCAGTCAGCAATTCCTCTCCAGGACTCATTGGTAAATGAAAAAAAAATATACAATTTATAGTAACATAAGGAAAATATAGATAAAATTAAGTTTGCAAGAGATAAATCTACTAATTATATATTAGTCCCAATACATCAAAGTTGATAGAAGAATCAAAGATAAAAATAATCTTAACAGAATATATAACCTTTGCATTTTTTAAAATAGTAATCAGAATATATATAAGCGATTGGGGTCTACTTTAGCTCAAAATATTTGAATTAGTATTAACAAGAGTCCTAATTCCTCAATCTATCATTTTTCAAGGTAACTTTTTATACTTTAGTTCAATAACTCTTAATCTGACCATTTTTCAGACGGTCTCGAAGAATGAACAAAAATCTCATTTATTGTGTTATTGAAAATATCAGAAATGCAATTAGTGTATTTACCCGAGAATTTTTTCCTTATCATTTTATATACACCTCGCCAAGTCGAAATTATAATATACAACAACCAGATTTCTAATCTACTCAAAATATTTCTTCAATGCGTCAAGCGAATTCTCCAATTTATAATATTTATAAAGCTATATTCGCTGAAAATATATTTATCGCAACGAGAAAAATGTTATCTGAATCAAAATATTTTCGGAATATTATAATTCTCATTGTTTAGCAAAAAACTTAATCATCGGTTGTTATTTTATTCTAATGCCAGCAATTTTATCGCGGGAAATAGTTTATAAATATTATTGTAGGGAAATACAGACTGAACCATATTATGCGCTTTAATCAATTAATTTTAATTTAATTATTTTCTGAGTGGTTTTTGAGATAATAATTTGTTATCGACACGTATTAGTTTATATTGGCTGATAGGGCAATTGAAAACAGAAATATGTTTGTCACGGATAATATATTATGCCGGTTTTTGTGAACTGACAAACAAGTTTTTTGAACAGCTATCAGAACTGAAGACTTATCATTATTTAATAAATTTATTATTAGAATTATATAATTTAAATTTGAACATATTTTATATCTATTTTTTCGAAAACGGGCTGGACCGATTTCAAACATTTGTCATTCGATGTATCTCGATGAGGCTATTGTTAGTCAGTTTTGTGCGACGATCAGCCAAGCCGTTTCTTTGTAAATAACAGAAAAGTGAAATTTTTTTTCCACGTTTTAGCCCGCAGTTCTGAAAAGATTTTGCAAATTCAAAGACCGTTCGAAAAATATTGGTTGGGAATCGTGCTGATGAGATTTTGGTAGAGATCGGGCCGTTTTCTTGTAATAGTGTTAAAAAAATTTTTTTTGACGATTATTATTATTATTTTTTGACGATAGATACCATAGTCTTCTGGGTCATACTAAAAGATTACGGCCTTACGACAACTCGTTTAGCTTTAAAAATTCGTCAAAGTTTGCAAAAATTAGTATCGTTTTTTCGGCATTTGTCAAAATTAGACCTTTCATCGACGATTGCTCAAAAACGCCTGAACCGATTTCAGAATTTAAAAACCATTTGATCTGCCTCAATGAGGACTATTGCTTGTCAGTCCTGTGCGAAGATCGGCCGAGCCGTTTCTTCGCAATTTGAAAAAAGTGTTAAACTTTGTCTACATTTAGCTCATATACTACCGAATCGATTTTAAAAAATCAAAAACTGTTCGAAAGATATTAGTTGGGCATATTAGTTTTCGGTGAAATCACCGAGCCGTTTTCTTCTAATTAACTGTTGAAAAAAAAATTTGAGCCGATTTTTATGGAACTTTTTTTGGCGATATATTGCATGGTCTTATAGAACTTACTGAATTATTACGTCCTTACGACAAGTAGTTTAATTTTAAAAATTTATCAAAGTTAAAGAAAATTGTTTGTTTTGACGTTTGTTAAAATTAAAATTAGACGATTTACTTGGTATAACGATAAAGTATCTGGTCTATAATGAAAATGAATATTAAAGTCCTACGGAAACTGGTTCAATTATAAAAATTGTTGATTTTTGAAAATTTGCTTTTAGAAAATATTCCGAGTTAACGTGTTGGTTCGTTTTCAAATATGTGTAATAAATCCACTCGGAATACTTTTAATCACTCATAAATTAATTTATTTTCTATTGATTAAGTCGATTATTTACACATATCGAGAAGTTCATGTAACTTGCCTTAAGGCTAAATACCAATACCAACTAGTTATTATTAGAAATATTCGAATAACTATATATTTTTAGTTCGAACATATTTACAAAATTAACAATATCATTACTGCTTGATATCAGGCTGGCCGAAGTAGATGAACCATAACTCAAATTTGTCCTATATACAATATCAGGCTGGCCAAAGTGGCTGCGAAGTCAAAGCTTGTGAAATAAATCATACCGAAGTTATTATATTACACTAACGCGACTTACTTAGTGATTGACGGATATACTCGTCATGAGTTGATTCTAAGGAGTCACAGCTGGCTAATTGATCTTGCTCCAAATCTAATAATAATAAGTTACTTACTTCATTGCTAATCCTTTACTATTTCTTAGGAAGCGTCAACCTAGCCAGCTACACCCCCGTAAAATCCGGCCTACACACATCAGGCAGTACCTTCGAGCTAGGCGTCACCAGAACCTCTCCAACGGTCACCGACGGCGGCGGAGGAGGCCCAAAGGCGACTCGGCCTCGATCAACTCTCCCAATTCGCCCACTTCGACAGCCACAGTCCTTTCCATCGAAGGCGCCGAAGAAATGGGCGAAGGCTGCTTGAGACCTGCTTCGGATGACCAGACTGTTGCATGGAGCCAGGAGCAAGACGCCACGGATTTGTTGTTCTGAGGGTAATAGAACCTGTCGAGGAGGTTTATAATGTATTTGTATGTATATTCCATAGATGGTAATGTGATGTATTTTAAGGCGATGAGAAGCGGATAAAAGACATTTGAATAATATCAATATAAAGAATATTGTTAGGATAATGATGTATTTACACTTGAAGAAGGAAAATGGATATCTAGTTGGCCAATTTGGATTCGGCAATTAGAGAAAGATGTTCAGGTATTTAAAATTGTAGGAATGCTTAATGAAAATGTACTGAGTATAATATTATTACTATGCGATATAAAGAAGATAAGATATTGAAAATTGATTTCACTAATTTCACTGAACTGATATAAATGAGGTCAAAAAATACATTATTATACAGGGCGCCAATTCTGCGATAAAATAAAATTGTTATGGCAACACTATGTTACGGGTCTATCTTCGTATGAATTTGTAATAAATTGTCAAAAAGCTATGTATTGGCTGTGCGATCAGGCGTTTTACTCATAAAAGACATTTGAATAATATCAATATAAATTATATTGTTAAGATAATGATGTATTTACACTTGAAGAAGAAAACTGGATATCTAGTTGACCAATTTGGATCCAGAAATTAGAAAAAGATGTTGAGGTATTTAAAACTGTTGGAATGCTTAATGAAAATGTACTGAATTTAATAATATTATTACTATGCGATATAAAGAAGATAAGACATTGAAAATTGGTTTCAATAATTTCACTGAAATGATACAAATGAGGTTTAAAAATACATTATAGGGCGCCAATTCTGCGATAAAATAAAAATGTTATGCCAACGCTATGTTACAGGTCTATCTTCGTATAAATTTGTAATAAATTGTCAAAAATCTCTGTATTTGTTGTGCGATCAGGCGTTTTACTCATAAAACCTTACTTTACGTATGTAAAAAAAACGAAAATTAATTTTGAATATCTATTATCTCTATATCTAGTTAAGACATTAAGCATTCGATGATATAACTAAAGGAAGTAGTATAGAAATTTAATCGGCCAAGGTTTTTTCCACCAAGTAATGTATCTCGTTACAATTATGCCAAATTATGACAGTTATTGGTTTTAAAGACTGGCGTTGTGGTCTAAGATTTATTTAGGAGCCCAAACATATCCAGATTTGTCCTTCATCCAGCCATGTGTGTGTGGTTTAATTAATTAGTTATAAGTGTAACTAACATGTCTTTTTTTGAGTAATCTGATAATTACTAGAAAGATGCCCTTTTGATGAAATTCTTATTTCAAGTTCCTGCGTTTTGTAGGTTAGGTTTTATGTGTAAAACGCCTGATTGCACAGCAAATACATAGATTTTTAACAATTTATTACATGCACCCGTAACATAGCTTTAGCTTGTTTACTTTTTTATTCGAAACTTTATTTGTATTCTTCTTTTCATTCAAGTTCACAATATTTTCAGACTTGAACACTGAAAGTATTCCTGTTTCGCCACCCATAATGAATATTTCATTCTAAAAATAATGAACAAAATAATCTCAATATTCATAGAAATTCTAGTGATTACATCACAATAAATGAAAAATACTTTTTCATCAAAGAATGAACTGCAAATAATTTGCTTGTTATCAGGAAATGATACTTTCCTTTCCCAATAATAACAAACCTTCTAAACATTCTCTAAAGTAATTAAAAAGCATAGTTAACGATAGAAAATTTAATAATGCTTAATAACATCATCAAATTAATATTTATTAAATTTGAATATTTTATCAAAAAACAAACATGATTCACACCTTCTTGTTTTAACATATTTACAACATTTTGAAAATGATTCATTTGTATGAAATACATAAATAGACAAAATTTGCTTTTCTATAAGGTATACCTCAACCATTTCCAGCATTAGATCCGACTGTAACCATCACATCAGAAGATATTTATTCAACTCTGTATATAATACATCTTTTTCATAATATATATTTTGACCATACATTCTATAAAATATTGATTATTACTATATACATTTTTTTAGTATTATATAATAAAATTAATAAAGGATATACTTATTTAACAATATCAAACAAAGTTTGCTCAATTTACTCGGTATATAAATTTTGATTTTATAGTACTCATAATTTTGCTTCCAATATAGATACACCTGTAACATAGCGTTACCATAACATTTCTAATTTATCGGATTATTGGCTCAAATATTTTAATTTTTTAATGCAAAAAGTTGTCATGTTTTAAGAGTACTACTAACTACTGGTAGCCACTGACCGTTTCTTCACAATTCAAATATAACGAAGTTTATTCATATAACTATCAGCCTAGATAGGATATCGAAAAGGTTTTTCTGGTGGACATAGAAATTTATTTATGAAAATCGTAGAAATATGCAAATAATTGCCTTTATACAATTTTAATATAGGATTAATCAGTATTTTGAAATATTGCCTATTATTCAATAATATTAATAAAACAATCTTGTCGTCGTTACATTCCATTTTGAATTTACTTTAGAACTAATTTTTAATTCCAGAAATTCAGATGTTTAAAGTTTGTCATTCCGTAGCACTGCATTTAACAAAATTATATATATATATATATATATATATATATATATATATATCAATAAAGATTGCCAACTTTCTGGACATTTGTGATAAATTTACGGAGAGTAAAATATGCTAATATTTTACACAGAAATGTAGTTCAAGTATTTGCTAATAAGTATTATCTTTACTTATAACTACACTGCCTATCCAAATTGCTAAATTAAATCTGGCTTTTTTAATCAAAGCCGATGGGTGGCCTTTTTATTGAATTAGAATATGAAAATAAATTTTGAATTTCTAGTTAAGACATTAAGCATTTGATGACATAATTAAAGGAAAGTAGTATAGAAATTTAATCGACCAAGGTTTTTCCACCAAGTAATGTATCTCGTTACAATTATGCCAAATTATTACAATTATTGGTTTTTACCATTAAAAGACTGGCGTTGTGGTCTAAAATTTTAGTGCCCTAAAAATATCCAGATTTGTCCTTTATCCAGCCATGTGTGTGTGGTTTAATTAATTAGTTATAAGTGTAACTAACATGTTTTTGTTTTTGAGTAATCTGATAATTACTCATTTAATTTTAAACAATTAGCCGTACTTAAATATACATTCCTCTGTACTTTGATTTCTATTATTGTTTTATGCAATTCTGTTTGTAAAGTGATCCAGTTCTTGTGTTGTATATTTTTCATTTATTTATTGTTAGTTGATAAGTTGATATTTATAGAATATTTTAGGTGTAAGTTTTCTGAAAATTGTTTTATAAAACGGGAACATTTGCCCGAAATTGTCGCATTTGATGTGGTGTGAAATATTTTTTTACAATTAAAAGTAGCTCTGTACTGTTGTTGATTACATCACGAATTTTTGTTAAAAATTGTAATAAATTTGAATGATTTTCATACTTATAATTATTCTATCATGGGGGGTATATACAAAACAATTGTTTTTTACCCTGTTTTAGTGTTTTCCGCACTTAATAGAGGACTACTTTGCCCAAATTCAATACCCTTGTTGAAAATATTTTATATACGCGGATATTTTGTTTTTATTCCGTTTATTTACATTAGTCAGGCTTATCTTATCTACATTATATATTTATATAAATCTTATCTAGAATTGAACCTAAAGGTAAATTTCCGTGCTACAGTTAGTGGCGCCTCTATGGAGTGAGGAAACAATTAAAATTGAGGTAATGGCAAAGCGGCCTTGTTTGCGAACATTTATAATTTTTTTTATCAATATATAAGTAATGCATAATTCTATAACAGTTTTTTTTTACTCAGGTTTCTACCCAATTTTCCAACTAAAAAACTATGTTTTTTTTCATACTTAGTCCGAAGACCTTTCGAGTTTTCATTTAACTTCTTTTCAGTTTAAAAATATTCAAATTTATTTTTGAAAAAAATATACACTATTATAATGTTATACTACAACCATTTGTTAAATTTGATCTTAAAGTTGTTAATTATTAATTAAAGACTGAAAACGTCTAAAAGATTTTTTTAAAATTGATTAAAACGCCTTTATTAGTTTTTTTAATCGTCTGATCTTTAAAGGGATTTTTCTTCCCTTCAATTCAATTCTCCACTGTCAACAATGTCTACATTTTTTCACTCGAAAGTTTTCATCTATAAATGTTCTTTATTTAATGCTACTTTTAATTGTTTTTTATTTAATGTGATTAATCAAACTTTACTCGTGTAAAAGTTTTGCCTTTAAGTTTTCGATTTTTTGTTGTGCTACAAATAACAAGTACTCAATATTGTATTAATATTATCTCTGGCTTCAAATTATTGTAACACGAACAATATTTTAATCTTGGGAAACTAAAATACTAAATCTAAGAAAATGTTACATTCGTTGATTTTTTTTAACTAACCAAACCACTTTATAAATGTTTATTATATATTTAAGAGCTAAAATGTATTGCATTGACTGATATAAACACCATTTTTTAAATACATTTTAGATACTACTAGAAAAGTAAAGTTCTATAAGATTAGATGATATAAATTTGGCGAATTAAATATTGGGAGCAGTTTATACGATAGCATTTCATTATATATATATATATATATATATATATATATATATATATATATATGAATTTACTGAATACCTTTTTTTAATATAAGAAATGAACGATTTTTTATGCTGTCCGATAAATGAATATTTGTGAAAAACTTTACATCGATTTTTGAGTTAAAGTGTTCCTTGCTTTCCGGTAATTGCTATCTTGTTTACTGATTAATTTAAGATATTTTAGAATGTTTCAATAGTTCAGAAACTAATTTCATTTAATATATTAATGATGGCCTTATCTCACACCTGTTAAATTTTTTTCAGTCACGAACCAGAAATTTTTTGAACTCGGACTTTCAATCTAGTTATCGTTTAATTTTATAAAATAGGTCTTTTAAAATAGTAACTGCCAAACACCAAGTAGAATTGTCAATAATTAAAAATTAAAATTTTGTACCACTAGATATATATTTTATACATTCCTTTTCTGTAACATAGCTTATCTTGCTTAATAAGGTTTTTTATTGTTAGATTTTTAAGTTTATAAATATAAATATTGTAATAATGATAATGGTCACATCACTGTGTATATATATAAATATTAAACTATTTAATAAAAATAATAATAAAAAGAATAAATGTTGATATTTAACAATTACGAGGCTGTTTTAATAATTTGCTCGCAGGATAAGTTCACTACTAATTAATAAAATTCGATTTTGCTGAATTTAATAAAATAAGTGCGAAATATTTAAAAAAATCTTTATACAAAAACTAATAAAATTAATATGTATTATGTTATTTTTTACGTTACAGTTAATTTTGTTTATATTCAAACATTGTTTCGGCTGATCGAGTTAAAAGCGAAAATAAAATTTATTGGCAAATTATAAACTTAAATTTTATTTTTTATTTATTTATTTAATGCTTATTTTTTAAACCTATATGCGGAAAAACATCATAAATGTATCTCTGACTTAAGTATGTTTATTAAATCTAAATTTTTACATATAATATATGCAATAAAAAAATTGCAATTGCAATATTATATAAACATTTAGCATTTATATATACAAAATTCTTTTTTATATTATTTATAATTTAAGATTTTTATAAATAAATATTTAAAAAATAAATAATAAATTAATAATAATAAATAATAAATTAAAAAATAAATAAATAAAAAATAAATTTAATTTAATTTGAAGTCTTATAAGTTTCACTTTCAATATATAATAGGAAACATAATTTAAATTTATAAATATAAAAAAATTGCTAAATTGTTTTATAAAAATTATTGATAATTATAAAAGATTGTGCTGCTGTTTTATAATTAAATTGATTGAATAACTCTTATAATAATACTTAATTTCTAGGACTTAGGTCTACTTCGTAATATATTGTAATTTTTATAATTTTTATTAGGGTATCCCAGAACTCAACGTCAAGCCGAAACGGATTGACATTGATTATAACAATATAAAAAAAAAGAAAAAATATCTTCTATTTAATTATTATAAGTACAACCTAAGGCTTTAGTCAAACTGTTCTATTTTAGTTTTAGTTTAAGAAGCCCTATATAACATTTCTAGGACCACAGTCAAAAATAATGACAAAATTGCCACAAATTTTATAGAATTAAGACTATTTGTTGAACTGTGTATTTAAAATTTTCAAAATTTGTCGACTTTCGAAAGTTTTCTTAAAAAAAATGTACTAAAGTGTTTCGGCAAATATCACTAAAAAATTTAATCGGGTTTGTAAAATGGTGTCACACTTGTTAGTTTCGTACAAGTTAAAAATATGAACTTCAACTAACCCTGTACTAACCAACCTATTTTTTACCAATGACGACTGTATCTCTTTCGCACGCGCGCAAACGCTACATCTCTGTCTCACTCACCATGACCGCGTTGAGTTCTGGGATACCCTGTATATTTACTGATACAATTATTTCTAATAGTATACTTAAATGTTACACATTAATTCTATTCGTAAGGCATTAATCAATTAACAATTTATCGCATTTAAAAATAAACATTTACTTATATAATAAAAATGATTTTTTGTAAACAAATGGACGAATACAATGATTGGTGTTCTATGAATTAGGTACATTCGTAGTTATGCAATACATAACTTTTTATTGCGATTTATTATTAATAATTATTATTAACTATTTTCGTTAAGAGGATGGAGTTGCAGAAATAGGTAAAAGTTTGACGTATTGAAATTTTAAAGGTAAGTATTTTATTTTGGAAATTTGATTTCAATATTTAGGTATTAATCTGTTTTTTTTTAATAGTTCCAGGTTTGATGCCCGCCTTGGACAACCTTATATCAAGCAGTATTGACATCAATTACGAGGATAAGAATATACCTACACTTATCATTTTGGAAAAACTGATTGGATAGATATCTTTGGATATTTTATATGAAAATAAAAACGGCAAAACTTTGCGAAAAAATCCGTGGATAGATATATTTGAAAGAAACTAATAAAGGTATTAATTTTATACTTAATTTTAATAATTAGTTCTCAATTCAAAATATAAATTGTTCACACAATTTATATTTTGAACTCATATATCTCTCTTACTCTTGGAAGTAATGTTAGGCAAATCAATAAGAAATTGTAAGCGCAGAAATAGGAAGCTTATTTTTTTATATGGAAGCTAATATATAACACAATAACATTTATCTAACAACAATTTAGTCGAATTGAATTAAATACCTCACAGCCAATAATATTACAAAATATTCCCTTTTCGAAACTTTATCTTTATCCCTGTTTTTGTCTTTTAGGAGCACACATGACTTAATAATAATAAATTTATAAAAATAATATATAATAATAAATTTTTAATAAAAAATATCTAAATAAAAAAATATTTGAAAAAATTCATTGCTTGTAAAAAATATCTACAATTTATAATAATAAGAACAATTTATTTAAATAATCGTAATAGTAAAATGAATTCATTTCTATCTGTTGGAGTTTTAATTTAAAAAATTGGTGTCATTTGTGCTCCTTATTCGCTAAACCTTCTTTTGGAAGAAACAATAATAAAAACTTACAAAATAGCAGGCAAAATAAAAAATTCTGAGCATTTTTTGTATCTAACCATGGGAGTAAATACAGAACAAATGTACTTTACCCTGTTTTAGTGTTTTCCGCACTCAACAGAGGGTGTACTGTGCCTAAATTCATCACTATTTTTGAAAAACCGATTTTCTTTGTGAAAATTTATTTTTTGTGTATATTTTGTTTTAATTTCATTTATTCAATTAAATAATCAAGTTTATTTTTTTCTATATTATATATTTATATAAATATTATCTAGAATTGAACCTAGGGGTAAATTTACGTGCTACAGTTAGTGGCGCCTCTATGGAGAGCGGAAACAATTAAAATTGAAGTAAATTTCCTAAATTACTTTTCAAGCATTTGCTCCAAATTTATTCTAAAACATTCAGGATATATAATTTTACTATATTAATTAAATTGAAATGCTCAGAATTTTCCACTTTACCAAATCTACAATTAATGATTAATAACTATCTTAACAATTTCTATAAATATCTGATTGTAACATGATTGTAACAGATTTCTAGCATTTTGATATGATATTTCAACGTAACACGTAAGAAGCTCAATTATATTATAATATATTATTAAAAACTATTTTAATTATATTAAATCTAAGCGTATTATTTATGTCACAATTTTTTTATTTATGTCGAAGACTCATTTTTTTAAGTCTCAATTTTTGGAGTTGATAAAAATCATAATTTACACGAAGACTCATTTTCTGGAGTCGATAAAAATGATAATTTTATTCAAAACTCATTTTTTGAAGACTCATTTTCTGTAGTCGATAGAAATAATAATTTATTCGAAGATTTATTGTTTGAAGACTCATTGTTTGAAGTCTCATTTTCTGGAGTCGATAAAAATAATAAATTGTTAGAAAACTCATTTTTTAAAGTATTATTTTCTGGAGTCGATAAAAATAATAATTTTATCAAAGTCTCATTTTTTGAAGTCTCTTTTTCTGTAGTCGATAAAAATAATAATTTAATCGAAGACTTTTTTCCTGAAGTCTCATTTTCTGGAGTCAGTAAAAATAATAATTTATTAGAAGACTCAGTTTTTGAAGTCTCAATTTCTGGAGTCAGTAAAAATAATAATGTAATTGAAGACTCTTTTCCTGAAGTCTCATTTTCTGGAGTCGATTAAAATAATAATTTATTTGAAGACTCTTTTTCCGTAGTCTCATTTTCTGGAGTCGATAAAAATAATAATTTATTCGAAAACTCTTTGTTTGGTGTCTTAAGGGGCACAACTAGTGTAACCGACTAAAAAAAGGTGATTTTTGGAAATTTATATTAAAAAAACTACTTTATCAATCATTTAAAAATTTAAGGAATATATTTACACATGTTTTAAGAATACATAGTAAAATTTTTGAAGAAAAAAATTAAATATCTTTTAAGTTATCGTCGATCACCAACGGCGCGACAAAAAAGGCCCTTCACTGCTGCAGTGATTCCGGCCTTCTACGTGGATGAAATTAAAAAAAAAATCTTGGTAAACTAGATAATATTCTATGTAAAATGAACTACGATAAAAATAAATCAAAAATTGACAAAATGGCGGCGTTTCTTAAAAAAATGTCGAATTTTACCCACAATTTTGGGCGTTTTTGGACTGCCAAAATTCGATTTTTGATCCGATCAAAAAATCGATAGTTCATTTTACGGATAACTATATATAGAACTAAAAAAAATGATAGTGATCGAAGCATTTGTTTTGAGTAATCGCTTGCAAAATCAAAGGAAAATGCTGTTCCGAGAAAAACACGTTTAAAATTAAATTATCGTTCTACTACGTACTATATACATACTCTTTAAATGGCTGTGACTCTAAAAACTATTTAAGATATCGATTTAGAAATTTTGGTATGTTATTTTTAAAGGTATAACCTATCGAAATATGGAAAAATTGAAAATTCGATTTTTGAAATTTCACACTAGTTGTACCCCTTAATTTCTGGAGTCGATAAAAATAATAATTTATTCGAAGACTCATTGTTTGAAGTCTCATTTTCTGGAGTCGATAAAGGTAATAACTTTCAGAACGACTCTAGTTTAAATTTTAAGATTATAGAAATTTACGGTTCCTCATTTGGAGTTTCATTTAGTTCTCTTATCACGTTTAGACATCCAAAACTCCTAAACATAGATTCAGCTTGCAAGATGTATTGTAACGATTGTGATTGTTGCTATATCGGGAAAAACTTTCGATATATCTATATATCAACACATTTATGATTCCAAATATTTATGTGTCTTTTACTATATTGCATGTGTCTTTTACTACATGTGTCTTTACTAAATCATTACTTTCACCCGTCATCTCAAATATTTGTCCCTCATGCAGATTCCCTTCACCAAGTCCACCCATCACAAAGTGTCGCCGAAGGAACTCCTGCTCCCAGTGGAGCTTGTGGCGATCGACATCTCCTCCTGAGCCTGCTCCTGTTCCTGCTGCTGCTGCTGCTGCTGTTGCTGCTGGAGCAGGTTGAAGGAAGCGAGCAACGATGGCGAAGGAGGCCCTTCGGAACCTTCGAAGCCCGGAGGACGGACATTGTCGGAGAAGTAGCCGGAGATGTTTCCGGGCGGAGCGTAGTGGGCTACTATCAGAATTTTACCTGGGGTAAGAGGAAATAGTAAGAAGAAATATGTTTATTGAAGTTTATGTTTTCGGAAAAACATTCCATTTGCTGTCGACGTTTTAAGTCATTTTGAATCGTATGAGACCAAATTTAGAAAGAGTACTAACATCGGCTCCCATGCACAATGCAGAAAAAATCCATTCATTGTCGAGTTTTAAGTTATAATCGGCTCCCATGCACAATGTGAGTCGATTTTAGTCCTTCCGTCGGCGTTTTTTCAAAAACGTCTGAACCGATTTTCAAAATTCTAAAGCCATTAGATATAACTCGATAAGGATTATTTAATTGCCATTAATAACTTAATTAAATAGCTCTAGGCTATCATACCCAAGAAATTTTCATTTAACTCACCTGATCTACTTCTGGCTTTTCCAATTCCGAAATGTCGTGTACTTGCCCAAACCATTTGGGTAAAGTGACCTTAAATTAATACATAATAATATATTAATATACACACTCTAAGCGATACTGGTAAAAATACTTTAAATTAATTAATACAAATTTGGTACAATTTGTAGTTAAAATGCAGATTTTAGTATTATGATAATTCACAATATATGGATTTAGGACATTTTTGTACTTTTGTTCAAATAACATTTCGGACATCATAATTTATTTACATTAGTAAAAACTAGATAAAATTTGCTTAAATTTAGTGAAAACTATTATTTACACTTGGATATTAAAATTTTGTATATTTGTAGTTGAAATGTGGACTTCAGTATTTTGATAATTTGCAATTTATGGATTCAGGACATTTTTTACTTTTTTTAAATAACTTTTGATTCTGTTCTCGGACATTATGATTTGTTTACGTGAGCAATAACTAGATAAAATCTACTAAAATCTTGTAAGAACTATTATACACACTTGAATTTTGAAATTTTGTACAATTAGTAGTCGAAATGCAGACTTCAGTATTCCGATAATTTGTATTATATGTTTTTAGAACATTTTTTACTTTTCTTAAAATATTTTTTTATCTCGGACATTATAAGTTGTTTACATTAGTAAAAACTGTATAAAATTTACTAAATTCTAGTATAAACTGTCATATACACTTGGGTATTAAAATTTTGTATAATTAGTACTCGAAGTGCGGACTTTAGTATTTTGATAATTCGCATTATATGGTTTTAGGACAATTTTGTACATTTGTTCAAGTACCTTCAAATTTTCATCTCGGACGTTAATTTTTTTTTACATTTGTGAAAACTAGATAAAATTTACTAAAATCTGATAAGAACTATTATACATACTTGAATATTGAAATTTTGTATAATTAGTAGTCGAAGAGCGGACTTTAGTATTTAGATAATTTGCATTATATGGACTTAGGATATTTTTCACTGTATGGCTACCCAAATATATATTATAATCCTATAATTTTTATTTCTATTTTAATTTGATTTAATAAAATAATTACCGGCATTAACGTTGGCGTGTAAAACATCTGGTTCCTTAAAGAAATCATATTGCTTCACCGCCCCATACCAGTAAGTCGATACTTCTTGACCTAAATAAGAAAAAAATGGAAAAATGGAAAAATGGAAAAATGGAAAAATACTCAATATCAATATTAGGTCATCATAAAATATAATTTGTTCAATTTATTTAGGCATTACAAATTGTATTCCATTACAATTTGTAATGCATATGTGACGTAGAAAATAGAAATTCTTTATTCTATTATTTTATTTTTAAAATGTATGTTAAATCACTATATTAATATCTATATTCCAGTCGACAGACTGATATTTTTTCAAATCGTTTTAATCAGATATAAGACTCAGGGTATATAAATATAATAAGAGAGCTGGGCGATACAAGGGACTTTAAAAATTAATTTTAACTTTCGTTTCAACTTGCACTTTATTTATGACCCAGAACAAGTGTTTGAAAATTCTACTTTTTCACTTTTTTATTATTGAAATCGGACTCACCTTTCTCTCAAAAACTGGCTTAGCATATTTGGCACTTTTTGGCTTGTATCGGTTAAACCGTGTTCCCGAAATCGTCGACGAAAATTTGTATCCGCACACAAACACACACACATACACACACACGCACGCATAGATCCATTTTTTCTAAGGTATGCCAAAATGTTCAGACACTCTTTGAAACGCGAAAATATATAAAAAAATCATTTGGTTTTATTTTGCTATTACTAGAACTTACCCTACGCAAATTTAATAAACTAGTTTTATTAGATTTTATAAGTAATTAATTATATTTTCTTGATAACAGGCCAAAATTATAATATAATTCAAATTGTACTTCATATACTTTTTGCAAACATATTTTACTTAATATTTTTTTAACAGTTTTAGTTTCAATATTTAAATTAAATTTTATAAAAATCGAATGACGTCATATTGCCGTGACAGACAAGTGCTTCATTGTCTTCCAGTTACCTCCTACTCACGTCTTAAGAAGTTTTACTCCAATAATTTCTCAAAACGTTAACATTTCATTTATAAATAATATCATTCTTCTAGCACTCTGACAAAACCCGATATCATACAGTTTGGCATTTCGTGACTTGTTCTCATTAAACCAATATGCGCCCCCTTAGGTAGGTCTCAGCCTTCGACCTACTGACTTTTATTGCCCGTCTACGAGATTTGAATAAGCCCCCCCTGAAAAGCCCGATCGCTACTTTAAGATAACAAAACGGACAAAATATCACGACAAAATACTTTAGCCGTTCGCCAAGTAGTATTAATAGAAAAAGTATACAGAAGGAGGATTGAATTAAGGGTAGGAAACTGATTTTTGGGTTTTAGTAAGATGACCAATTAAAGGTAGGAAAATGATTTTTGGGTTTTAGTAAGATGACCATACGTCTCGGTTTACCCGGGACAGTCCCGGATTTCCAACTTGTGTCCCGGGTTTTTCTAAAAGCAATATTTGCTCCGGATTTAAATCTTTTGTCCCGGATTGTCCCGGGTTTTCAAGTAGTATAGAAAAATTTTGAAGAAATTTATGCAAAGATTAGGAGCGAAAAAACATATACATGTAGATCCAAAAATAATATATAAAATAATAAAAGAATAAAAAAGGTCTCACTTAAAAGTCTGTAAATCTGAGTAAAAATAACGATTTATTTACATTTTCATTGTATTTGTTATTTATTTTTGTCATAACTAAAAATTACCGTCGCGGTTTTGATGTTAAAAATATGATCATCTTAGTTTTAGGAATCTGACCTAGTATCAGTTAATTAACTGAATTTTATCTAAATTACCTGTCACTTCAGTCTGAATAACATTTGCTGGTCTGCAGAACAAATTTTGTCCAACTTCTCTGTCACTTCGATAGTAAAATTTATTTGTATGGGCCAAGTGATTCGCCCAAGTTTGGGCAAAACTGCACAACTAAAAAATAATAATTCGAAAATTTAGCATTCAATTAAGTAATTAAGTAGTAGTACAAGTCGTAGTAGTTGTAGTAGTAGTAGTAGTAGTAGTAGTAGTACTAGCAGTAGCAGTAGTTGTAGTAATAGCCGTAGTAGTAGTAGTTGGTAATAGTTTATTATTTTATATGTCGCCGTGAAAATTTGGGAAAATTTTATATATATCCCTGGACATGTTTTTGCATATTCTGATTGAAACCAAGTGGTAGGGATCGGCCACCCTGAAGACTTTTTTCATTTTTTCAGTAATTTTTTATTTTTTTATTTTTTATGATCATATGAAATAAAATTATTATTTTTATATGAAAAACACATATAACTCTAAATTATCACCCTCTTACCACAAACCCCTATTTTGTAAAAATTATTATTATAATTACGTCATTTTTCATCGCAATTTTTCAGTGAACGTTTTTGATTAAAATTTGATTGGACTTATGATAAAGCTCATCTTAACGTAAAAACTGCTTTGACCAATAAATTTAAACTTGTGTTATGATCGATTATAGAAACTAGTAGAAATCTTAGATTGCTAATAATTGATTTGTTATACAAAATTAGATGATTATTTTAAAAAGTTTTTTTTCTAATATTTTACCTCCGGGCTCATAGTTAGTGCAGGAGCCCCATGTCTCTGTCTGTAGACATTGTGCCAGCATAAGGCATCAGAAATAAAATCACTGTCCTGCCAGGCAGTGCACCCTTCTTCACCTTCTGATACTAGACATAAGGATCTCGTATGCAGGATCTAAAAAAAACACATAAATATTTATACTAAAAATTAGGATTTATCTAAAATAATTTGCATTTTATACTTCTGAGTATTAACACTCTAATTGCCATGTCAGTCATATGTGTCTGATTATAATGCATAATGTCTGATATACGCGATTTGGTAGAAGGAGAAAAAAAGTGTTAATATATATGTGAAGGATAAAAAATAGTATTTTCACCAAAATGTTTACATTTTTTTCTTTCATACACTTTCATCTAAATCACGTTTTTAGGGGGAGAGAGGGTTTGACAAAAAATCACGAAATATCACGTGGAGGAGGGAGGGGTATAGTAAGTTATCACGTGTATTTATTTTTTAACAAATTTTTTAAAAAAAAGTTCAAACAATTTCAAAAGAACAAAAAAAATTTACAGTTTTTTCACGTAACTAAAAATACACGTGATATTTGGTGGGGAAGGGGTGGTAATTTTGAATATCACCATGTATCACCAAGAGGGAGGAGGGGTCCAAAAACCTTAAAAAATCGCCTACTTAATTAATGGACACCTCTATGTAAAATTTTTTCTGATAATTATCCTGGAGACAAAGAATATAATATATGTAGGAGCACTAAAATATAGCTAATTTTATAAGTCTTAACAAAACAGTTTTATATTAAATTTAACGAGCCTTTTAAATTTTATGGTATCTTAAATGTCATAGTGCAAAAACGCGTACCCGATTGACCTTTACAGATTGGTCATATAGTATATGATACAGCTAAAACTACAAACTATAGAATATAATATCACATCTTTTCGAATTATATGGTATTGATTTTCAACATGCCTTCGGTTTTGTTCCATAATTTAAGTTTATGTGACATTAGAAATTTTGGCAGAACGCCTAATGTTGAGACATCAATAACGCTGCTGGATTTTCTCCAAACGCTCCGTAGATATATAAGATATATATATATATATATATATATATATATATATATATATATATATATATATATTTCTCACATAGTATATAATTTCCTTGCACATTATAAATTGATTGTCGAGAAAAAACCGCTTATCGCCTTCACCTTGGCATTACCATTACGCATTCGGTTAGGTGTGTTATCATCGGCGTTATATCGACTGATATATCTCCATGAAACGTTTTATCGTGGTAAAATGAGCTGTAAGTTTTTCTTTATTGCTATATAACGCGAGCTCTACATTTTGCTCTATATTACAAAATTGCGGGGCGTGTGCACCAGGGGATACCGGGGGACGGGGAAATAAATTATATAACACAATATTATTACATACTGGAATGGAATTGCATTACATAACCCAGAGAATATATTTTATTTCATGTGCACATTATTTTTCTAAAAATATCCAGTAATAAAATTGATCGCTTGTTTATGCACTGAAATTGTTGCAACAATTTTTTTCGAGAACTGTTTTACAAATTTAGTTTGGTTGTGAAACAAATTGTATAGAAAGTCCAGTTGTAATTATTATTAAATGTTTCTTTTTGAAGTAAAACTTCTTTAGGCGCGATATGGGTGTAAAAATTTCTTTAGGCTACACGGGTGTAAATCCGTACAAATGCAACGAAAACGCCAACGTGTAGTTGAACACTACGACGCCGTAAGCGCTGATGTCGCGAGTATCCACTCCCGTCATGTCATGCGTAAGTCGAGCGCTGAACCCTATATGAACTTGCATTAATTGAATCACGTTTTTTTTACAAAAGAAGAGGTTGCTGTATTATGTCCTCATGGAATAAGACTTTTCTTAGAGAATAATTGTGTCATGGAATATAATAAATTTATATTGAATCTCGAAGACAAAATAATATCTACTGCCACGGATATTTATGTAGGTTGCCATGCGACAGATCAACAATCATACATTCGTCAGCAGTTTCAAAAAAATCGGTTATTGATACCGGGGGTTTGCCGTATGAAATAATTTTAGTTCTGAATAATTTTAGTTCTGAATAAATTTTACATAATAACAACTAATATTGATGTAAGTGATGGCTTAGCTAATGGTTGTGTAGGAAAATTAGTGTACATAGAACGTGGCGATAATGATGAACTTCTACGTTTATGGTTTGAATTTCCTGGTAAGATATTTTGATGAAATTGTATATGAATACAATAAAACACATAATCAGCAGCTTCTATATGTTGCATTATCACGAGTTACCAGCATTAATGGATTGTTCATCATTTCTAAAACAACGACAAAAAAATTTATCATGGAAGAAAATGGCCAGCAGGATTAATGGACTTACAAACTGAATTCCAAAGACTTTCAACTTGTAGATTAATAACACAAAAAGAAAAATTGAGTGAGATAATAAGTTTGAACGACATTTCATTGTTTTCCTTTAACTGCCAAAGTTTACGAGCTCATTTGCCTGATCTGCAAGATAAAGTGCTACAACGTTGTACGTTTTTGTTATTTTCGGAAACTTGGATTAATAATAAAGAACAAATTGATATTTAGAACTATTACTGCGTTACTCAATACAAACGATCAAACTCAAGAGCAGGTGGTGTAGCTGTTATATCATTCATGTTCAGATACTCTTCATAATGCCACTTCTATGCAGTTTCTTGCGCCAACAATATTACTGGATATTCCTAATGAAATTATACAAGTAGGTGATATTGCAGTTGTCCGCTGTGTGAACACACAGAATCAAACATTGATTATAGTCGTCCTTTAAATTTCTCCCAATAAAAACATATCAAATATTATTGAATTTCTTCATCAGCAGTTACTTCATTTTTCTAATGAGGGTGCAAAATTTTTAAACACTAATCACAACGAGATACCATTAATTCTTGCTGGAGATTTCAATGTCAATTTTCGTTCAGAAGAATCTCAACCATTAATTGATTTTTTAAATAATAAATTTAATTTAACAATGAATAATTCTCCATTTGATTCAACCACAAGATATGGCACGACTATTGATGCAGTTTTCTCCAGAAATGTACATAGTTTACAAAGCAAAATTTATGTCTCTCATTTCAGTTATCACAGACCTATTATATCATATACGAAATATGATAGCAATTAATCTATCGCTGTTGTTTTAAACTGTGTTATTGATGTTATGTGATTATTAATAAATGATTTTTAAAATTCAAATATGATGTTTTTTTATTTTTATCTTAATTGCCTACTCATACAATATTAAAAGTTTTACTTCAATCGCGTGTGATCCTTACGCGCACTCTTTTTTTTTATTTATGTTTGTTATTGAATCCTGGTCTCCCCCAAAGAGAGTAAAGGTGCTATCGTAAAGTGTTTTGTGAAGGTCACCGGAACACCGGAATACCGGAAATAAGAGTCTCACGGGGACTGTTTCCGGCGAGGTGCTCCGGAAGGTTAACTACGCAATCTATATGTGCAAATAAGTAGGTGTCTTACATAAGACTGGACTAGCCTATATATATATATATATATATATATATATATATTCATTCCTTCATTTTGGTCATTTTCAATTTCCTTGCTCCCAGGGGCTCAAATGGTTCCAAATTGATAAAAAACAATTCTCTGAAAGTTTTAGCTCTTAATATTAACGTTTAGATAGAGCGCAATTCAATCAAAGTTTGTATGGGAAGAGCATGGAAATTTTTTTAAAAATTTTAAAAAAATGTTTTAGGTATAATTTAGCGACAAATGAATGACTTTTATTCATTCATTTGTTCGCTAAATTACATCCAAAAAACATTTTTAAAATTTTTGAAATTTTTTTCATGCTATTTCTATACAAAACTTTGATGGAATTGCGCTCTATCTAAACGTTAATATTAAGAGCTAAAACTTACAGAGAATTGTTTTTTACCTATTTGGAACCATTTGAGCCCCTGGGAGCAAGAAAATTCCAAAATGGCCATTTTAAGGACCACCCTAATATATATATATATATATATATATATATATACATTTCCAAAAGAGAATTTTATGTTTTTACCAAAAAATTCGACTTGCTAATTTTACGTTCACTTCTTTCAAATCGTTTGAGACCGAAATTGAAAAAAGGCTATGTGGTGTATTTAAGCCAAAATTTGGCATTTCGTGGATGTTTTTCTAAACAGCTGCATCAATTTCAAAATGTTAATTTAAAAGTCAGATGAAACTAATTTTTTGTCAACAATAGGGTAGGGCGTAGCACAAAGAATCAATTTGACTTTGAGCAGATATATTGTGCGAACCAAATCAAATTATATCACAACAAATAACACATATCAAACAAACAATCTATCTATCTTCAGTGAAAATTTTGAAAAACTTATTACCTAGTCCTTTTTACCCCATTGGCGGCGTTAAATGGGACAGTCATACAAATACAATGTCTTATTTTTAATTTAAAGAGATGTTTCGAAATAATAGCTACTATTCAACCAATGCAAAATATAAATTTCATGTCTACATTTTTTACAGAGATAACACTGTACATAACCTTGATCTGGTATTTTGTCAGAAACATTCATCAGTAGAGTTGGAATAACAATTTATTTAATTTATCTTTTGTAAAATTGCTTTTTTCAACTCAATTTACTTTACTATTTACTATTTCTTATTGTTTATTGGCAAAGATTTTGCCAAGGTAAAGGTTCAGTTTACCCCACCCATGTGTAAATTTGATAGAGGTTATAAAAAAAACTATCGAATAAAACTTAAAATTAATAATACATCAATAATACAATTAAATAATGTATACTTAAAAATTATATTAATGTCTTGTAAACTAAACCACAGTAGTCACAACCAAAAAACCAAACAACGAAAAAAATTACTTTTGTTATGGATTTTCAAACATTTCTATGTATCTCCCTATAGCGACGATATAAGAATCAAGGTGATGGCTGGTTACACATCTTTTGCTATATACTTTCAAATATTGTCGTTATAAAATTCTTAACTTTACTCATTTTTTTAGTATTGGCGTTGAACCTTTCAACTCGCCGATCTTTAGCTCCGCTCTACCCTATTTGTATTATAACAAAAATTAAATACTGTAAATCATTTCATCGCATTTTCAAGCTTTCGTTCTATTTATCAATGTGATTACAAATTTAATTTAATTTCTATCATATAGAACCAAAAAGAAATTTCATTTACATCACATTTTCCATTACGAAAATATGTCCTCATTATATGATGATTAGGTAATAAAACGCGGCTAATATCTTGATCCGCCCGGAATTAATTCCGTGGTACCGAAAGCCATTATAAACTCATTAACACTCCGCCTTTGTGTTCTTTTTATTAGTTTAGTCCACAATATAGAAATAATACAATATACGAGAAGGTTTTATAGACGAAAAAAGATTTAGGTCACGAGGAAAATGAAATAAGGAATTCTGGTTTTTATTCAGAATATATTTTATTTTTATACCGAAGTCGCGTAATAACTTAATAACTAGATATTAAAAGAAGAAGTTGATATAGGGCAGAGCGGGGTTTAAAGGTCAGCGGGTAAAAAGATCCACCAACAATATCAAAACCAATAAAGTTGTGCATTTTTCAACAATATTTGAAAGTAGAGAAAAAAAGATGTTCAACCATCACCTTGATTCTTTCGACATCGCTATTGGCAGATAAACAGCAATGTTGGAAAATCCATAACAAAAGTATTTTTTTTCCTTGACATTTGTTTTGGTTGTGAGCAGTATTGTTTAGTTTACGAGACCTTTATATAATTTTTAAGTACACATTATTTGATTTTTTTATAACTTGTCTTGTTAATTTTAAGTTAAATTCAAGCATACACCTGAGTAAAAAGGACCAACTAAAGTTTTACTTTGGCAACTAAAATAGACATTTTTACAATACAAGTAAATAGTTTTTCAATCTTTGAATGATGAATATTTCTGACAAAATACCAGATCAAGGTTATATACAGTGTTATCTCTTCAAAAATGTACCCTTAAAATTTATGTTCTACATTGGTTGAATAATGTAGCTATTATTTAGAGCAATTCCTCTAAAATTGGAAGTAAGATGATGAATAATAAGAAATACAATGATGAATTAGCTGGAAGTTTTACTGAACATGTTTTGTGTTATTTGGTAATTGGTTTGGTTTTTACAATATAATTGCTCAAAGTCAAATTGGACCTCTGTGTCCCGCCCTATTATATATAGTAATATTTTTTTTTTAAATAAATAATATAAATTAAATTGATTAATTGATACTTTACCTTTTGTAAAAGTTGTGGTCTATTATCTAATTGTGCTTGTTTTCTAGCTTCTTCTCTTGTCAATGGCCTTTCATCCTCATCATCTTTTTCTTTTGCATTATCTAGTGCGTTATCTGGAAAAAATAAAATATTTAATAATTATAGAATATACTAGCAAAAATAATCAAATTTTTCTCAACATTTATTTTTATAATTACTAATATAATTTCGATTCTGTTCTTACCGAGTGTGCCTCCGTAATCTTTTCTCAACAGTGCAGGAGATATTTTTTTCCTCAAATTTTCCAAAGCTTCTGCTTGCTCTCGTTTTCGACTCGGAGGAGGTGCTCCACTACCTAGAAAAAATTTTAATTTCAAATTAATATTGAAATAATAGATAGATTTTTGTATAATTGTCTTCAGTGATCTATATGGGTATATGTGAATCTTTTTTCAAATTTTTTTCTCACCTGCTCCAATTGGAGGCACATTGAACTCGGTGTTTGTGAAGGTGCTGCGCATGCGCCTGGACGCAGGAGCCCTTTTTGATAAAGGAACCGTCTTGATGAGAACAGGGACTTCGTTGGCATTCGAATCAGATATTGATAGAGTTGATAGTTCTAGAGGACTTTGATGAAATGCCATTATTGGTAGAAGTAGACTACTCCGATTTCAAAAATAATGGACAGCAAAAGATTGAATTTGATTGAAAGTAGATGCAGGTGACTATGATTGGAGCATTTGTTGATTTGGAATTTTTTGGAAGTTATTGATAGTTGCTAGATGTTCATGTAGATTGTCCATTTTGGAATAGGATTTCATATCTAGAAACATTTGGAAGTGTACTAAATCGTGATACAGTAAATTTTTGAAATGTTTCTCCAATAATTTGCTTTTGGCATAGCTCGTTTTCAAGAAAGCTATTGTTATAGTATGTATAGTATGTATTGTATAGGATATACTGTTTCGGAAGACGACTTCAAAGTTTTTGGAAGCATTTATTTCTCTGGTGTAACAGAATTGAAATTTGGAGATCAATTTTACAAAGTATCTTCATATTCTTGCAGTTGCTCTTTACAATTTTCTTGGTTGATATTTTGTAACTATTATGGAATATTTGGAAGTTTTCTATCAGCATTGATTATTTTTGAATAAATTTGTATTTTGTATAATGGCATTTGAAGTTCCATGTCTTGAGATACTTTTATACATCCAAAAATATTTGTAGGTTTTCAATTAGTAATCATAATTTTTATGTTGCTCTAAAATTGACAAGATTTTTTCAAGCTCCATGCTTTTTTGTACTCGTAATTAATTTTTGGATTACTTGGTTTTCATTTTAAATTGCCAATCATTACCATTACCAATAATTGTGACTTGTATCGAGATTTTCATAATATATGAATGTTTTATAATAAGTTTAGCATATAAAAATTATTTTGCTATATCTGGCAAAACTCATATAAAAAATAGAGTATCTTCGCTTCTGCAGAACAATGTCGCCCACAAGATTTTGTTAGAGTTAATATTACTGCACAATGATTTGTCTATACACAAATTTTCACCCTTTTGTCTACTTTTTATATCAACTTTTAACAACAATTTATATCAGCAAAAAATATTTTCAAGAAGCACTATTTTTTATCACAATTCATAACGCCAATTATATAACGTTAATAATTAACAATTGATTCTATTTATTTTGCTACATTAAAACTTTTTGTGAAAGTTTAGAGTGTGATTTTATCAAATATATTTAGTTTATTTTCGGAAATGAATCAGTGTTTTGGAAGAAAATGATTGTCACAAAAATTAAAGATGTTTTAAAATTTATATGATTTTTGGAGAATTTTTTTTGGAGATTGATTTTTTTCTTCTTGCGCTGAAAATGAAATAACATTATTACACATTTTTTAAAACTAATAACAAATAAATTATTTTAAAATATTCATAAAAAAATAAGATTAGTAAAGGATTTTATATTTACAAGCATTTTAAACAGTTTTTTTATTATTCTTTTATATAATAAAATAAATTTATTAGGTTATAATTAGGACGGTTTATCTTTAGAATACTAAACATTAAGAGCAAATTATTTTAAATATTGATGACTCATAAGTCATTATTTATATATATTTTTCTATAAGGACATAAGTTTTTATTTATTTATTTTCTTACTAAATAATAATAAGCAATTAGAATGAATATAAATTATTTGAGCGTTTTAAAATTCTGATAATTTACAACTTATAAAAAAATATTAAAATAATAAACTAAAATCAAACAGAGATTTAAATCCATTTAATTAAATTATTTAATTCAAATTATTTCAAACCATTTAATTAAGCTTTCATATTTAAAGCAAAAGTACAAAGAAAAATTTAATAATATTTGTTGTCGTTATTTAATACGATTTTAATACATAATTTATTAGTTTTATATATTTATATTGCTTTATAATAATAAATATTAAATAATAAATTATAAAGGTTTAAATTTACTACAATCAATATAAAATTAAAATCAAACAACAATGGATTTAAATTTATTTTTCATAATTTCAAATCATTTATACATATTATTCTAGATTTCATTACCAGTAAATAAATAATTTAACATGTGGTAATTTTTATGAAATATAATAATAAATTATTTATATTATTTGAAATTGTTTTTAACAATCAGGGGAATTAATACGTATTTTTATTGAGAGTATATAATTTATTATTTATACACATGTTTTTGTACGGCATTTTGCTTTATAATAGTAATTGCTATAAAATTCTTGTAAAAAAATTAAGATCAACAATACTTTGATATTTTACTTTACGTCAATATAATAATATAATAATTTTAAGATTTTTTAAACATTTTAATATGTTTTGCACATAATTTTGAATTTTAGTAGTACTCTATTTGTATATATATATTGCTTTAAACTTGTTATTATTTTTTAATGATAATATTTTGCTTTAAAAATTTAATATACTATAAATTTTATATCACATATGTATTATATTTACATTTCTGACCATTATAAAATTATTCTAATTTTAAGTTTGAATTGGAGCAAATAAATAATATTTATTATATTAATCAAAATTATTTTAGTTATTTTTAAATGATAAATATTAAGGCATATTTATATTTTAATAACACTTTACTAATTATATGTAAACACTATTTTAAACGTGCATAACTTTTTAACCAAATTATTTTTAATATTGGTAAATTATTATTAAAATAACATGGAACTTAAATAACATTCTTAAACGTAATATTAACAAAATCAATTAATATATATTATATTTACATGTTTGTAGAATTCGTAAAAATTTTTCGGTAATTTTTTTTGTTAATTTTAAGGAAGAATTGTGGAAGATGAATTCAATTGATATTTGTCAACAAACAAATGAACGTAACGTAAGAGAAAACATATAGGATAGATAGAAGGTGGGAATCGAGCGAGAATCCGCGTGCGCAGCCTTCGAGCCTCGCGGGGCTACTGCCAGTGTACTGCCACTCGTCTGCTGCATTGCCGTTTGCCGCCTTGCCTTGCCATTCACGAGGCGACGCGAACGCGTGCTCTTCTGCCTTCTGCTGACAGCGACGGGCAGGTGGAGGCCGGCCGCCCCACTAGAGAAACTATAGTCGGCAACCCCCCAAACCCCCAGACTCTCACAACTCTCGGCTCGGCTAATAAATATTTTGATTTGGAAAAACTCGAAAGACAGGTGGGCGTACGTACGAGTACCTATACATTTATATTAGACTTTTTGCAGATGAATGAGGGAAGCGGTAATAGAAGTATTTTAGATAGATCGAAGTAAAAACTAGCTGTAAGTGGAATTCTGTGTTGAGGCAATTATGGCATCGTGCCTTAAGGCAAATTGCTAGAACTTCCCGTACCGTAACGAAATGTTCGAGGAATACTGAATGTTTTCAAATAGATTATTATAAATATTGTAACATTGTCTAATATTTATAGGAATTATATAAACTAAATTGCAAAGTTGAAATTATTTATTTAAAGTATATTAGAACTATAGTCAGAATTAAAAATAAAATTTGAAATATTTTCGATATACAAAAAGCTTAAAAAAAAAAGTTGGATTTTTTTTTCCAAAATCAATTATTTTGTTAAGACAAGCAGAAAGTTCTTTAAATCATTTAAATCGGACGCTTAGTTCTCTGAAAAACTGCCATATTTTACATATTTAGCTCCGTATCTTCGAAATGGCTGGGCTTGCCTTTGCCAAAAACTAATAAACACTTCTCCCAATCATTACTAATTGAATGTTTTTTAGATCATTCACATCGGATACTCCGTTCTCTCCAAAATTCGATTTTTATTTTCTGCACTCTTTGCTCCGTATCTCCGAAACGGCTGGACCTGGCTTTGCCAAAAACTAATCAGCTCTTTTCCCTATCAATAGGAATCGAATGTTTTTTGAACCATTCAAATCGGTTGATCCGTGCGCCCTAAAACGTGACTGGAAATTTGTATCCATACATACATACACACACACACACACATCCATTTTTTCTGAGGTATGCCAAAACGTTCAGAAACCTTCAAAACGTCGAGCAATGTAAAAATTTTCAATTCCGATTTTCGGCCCATTACAATAACTTACCCTACGGGAAGTTAATATATTAGAAATTTTCAGTTTGAGAAAAACATATAGAGGTTTTTTTTAGAGAAGGATAGACGAAGTAAAAATATACATACTAGAATTTTTTAGTTTGAAAAAAATATGAAAGATTTATTACTGAGAGGATCGATAGGATGTGTAATACTGCCCTAGGACAGGTGAGCTTATGTACTTATACCTACACATTTATATTAGATATTTTGTAGATAAATGAGGGATGCGGTTATAAAGATTTTTTTAAAGAAGGATAAACAGAAGTAAAAGCATACAAGATTTTTTTTAATATAAAAAGGATAGAAGAAGTGAAAATATACATACTAGAATTTTTAGGTTTAAAAAAAAAAGAAGGATATTATGTATAATAGGATATTATGTATAATATCCTAGGGCAGGTGGGCGTATGTATCTACCTATACATTTAAATTAGATATTTTACAGATAAATAAGGGATGCAGTTATAGAGGTTTTTAGAGAAGGATAGACCGAAGCAGAAATATACAGAAGGATAGACCGAGATTTTTTTTTTAGATAAATTACTGATAGGATGTGTAATACTTCCCTAGGGCTAGTGGGCGTATGTACCTATACCAATACAATTAAATTAAACATTTTACAGGTGAATGAGGGATACGATTATAGAGGTTTTAAAAGAAAATTAGACTAAAGTAGAAATGTACATCAATGTTTTAGTTTAAGAAAAAAAAAGGAAAATTTATTACTGATTATTATTCGATTCATGAAGAAGAATAGTTTGAGAGATATCCCAGTGCCATTTCACACTGCAGTCCCTAAAATTGGCATGGGCTATTTTCAATTGGAAACATGTTTTTCATCTATAAAATGCATCATTCACACAATAAAGCTAACTTACCCTTTATGCAATGAAACACCCATTTAAATTAATTGGATAAAGTTGTTTTAGTCATACCCCCCCCCCAAAAAAAAAATAATGCTATAATATTTAATATACTTAAATAAAAGATTATCTTGATGTATTCAATCTTTATTTACTTGGCTTGTGAAAAATATTTAGGATTCTGAATTATGAATAATAACAACGTTTGATCTCTACCAAAAAAACTCAAATCATTCAACTAAATTTTTAAATCATTACTCGTATATCCAAAACTTTGATGCAAAATCATGTTATCAAGTTTCAATTATGAAGAAATTCCTCTAAAAATTACTGAAATTTTAATAAAGTTATGTTATTTGATTTTTTAGAAATGTGCTTTCAGTATTTTCAACGTCTAGTCGCCTTAGTCGTACCACCTATGGGCTTGCTCGTACCTACTACTAGAAAAATATATAAAATTTAATGCTAGAACAAATTTTTTATAGTTATTTATATACTAAGTAAAACCTATTAATATTAATACAAAACTTTGAATAAAATAATACAATCTAAATGTAACGAATATAGTTATAAAATTATTAAGTCTCTGGGTGCTAAGAATGGTAAAGGAATTGTTCAAGACAGATAGATTTATATATGATATGATAATATATTATATATGAAATAATTATAAGAAAATTATACAAATAAAAACCTAGTTTTAAATAACTATCTATTGGTTTATAGTTCATTTAAAAAAAAAGTATTAGATGCCAACCTGATTCCTTCAGATTCATATAAAGTTAAGAGAAGATTGTACGTCTGTCGCATGTCACATTTGTGTCAACAAAAGTTAGAAAAACTTTTATAAACGGAATGACTTCCAAAAGAAATGCGGAACTTAATTTCTAAGATACAGAAAGTCTGAGGAAAAACACCGATGGTATTTTTTCTGTGAGTTCATTATTAAAGACGTGTAATTAGTCTTGGAATCTGCAAACTCGGTGACTGTAAAGTCCATATTTAAAATTTTGGCAAGAAATGAAAAAAACCGTTTTGTCAAATTTAAGCAATATTCACTCAATAATTTTGCATCCCAAAAAACAAGTTGAAAGAATATTAAGTTTTTTTAAAATTGACCATTTTCAAAGGCTTGAAAAATAAAGTTGGAAATAGTGTTAAATTGTTTCTGGTAAATAATTTCTTCTTATTTTACTAATTAACTTTATTTTATAAAACAATAGGTTAAAATATTATTTTCAAATCTTTTGTTTATTATATATGTTGTATTAGTTTTGTATATAAAATGGTCCAGAAATTTCTCTATAGTAAAAACTGAATGATAAAATTTTGCATATATATTTTGTATATAATAATTTAAAAATTTAGTTGAATCATTTCGGTGTTTTGGTAGAGATCAGAGGTTCCTAGTATTTATAATTTTGAATAAACTGAAATAAATTTCAAGCTCTAATTTTGGTAAAGCAATTTACGTCATGTTTGTTATTTTTACATAAAATATAATCACTCATTCATCTCATAACTCTTCATTTAATCTTATTTAAATTGACTGTCTTTGATTTACGTGAGGGGTTTCCCATAGCGCAGAGACGTACTTTAGAAAATATATGTGATTGATAAAATAGCAATTTTGTTTTTGTAGTCTCTATAAAATGTAGCAAAAATCCTAAATGCCCTAGTTTTTTTTTTTTAAAAAAAAAATAACGTTGAGCAGGTATGTGCTGAATCAATATCAATATCTAGTTATTTTATAAATAACTATAGGTATTCTATAAAACTTAAATTTATTATAAAATTGATAGAGTATTTCAGAATTAACCTAGTCTTGCTACTTGGAAAAATAATGGAAAATTTCTTTAATTTATTTAAAAAATATACAAGCCCTCCAAAAACTTGCCTTCTCAGAAGACGTTTTGCTATTATGAATAAAAACACTTAAAATTATATTATATTTAAATTTGTTGATGCTTTGTTTCATATGTGTAGAGTGAAGTTACTTAAGTCGTACCCCCCATGTACCCCACTAAAAAGAATTCTAATATAATTTACTGCAATTAAATTAAAAGAAAATCGTTGGCGTCTATTGAATATTTCCTTAAAATTACTAAAAAAAGTTGAGTTCATACCAAATTAAAAATAGCTTTAGGTACAACTGAAGTCACTAGGTTATTTATAAGCCTTATTTGTACCAAAAACACATTTTGGAAAAATTTAAAAATACATATTTTAATGTAATTCTTGATCATAAGCCTACTAACTTATAATCAACAATGACTTGTTATTGAAATGGGTCTTTTTAGGTTTTTTAAAAATTTGTTACCGATTCGATTAAGGCATCTAGTCACCTTAGTTGTACCTAATATTTGAAAAAAAGTATTTTTAATTCGGTATGATATCAACTTTTTTTTAGTGTAACAAGTGTAATTACAAGGTACGACTTAGGCAATGGTATGACTTAAGCATCTTACCATATTGCAGTATCTATTATCAATTTATTAATTCTTTATCTGATTTGTCCCTGGTTAGAAAAATGATCCTTGTAAAATATAGCAGTGGTACGATTTAGGAAACCATAAATTTCTCCTAATGTTTCAAACTTCTCATTTTTTCCTGATTCTTAATAAAAATATGACAAAATTATTTCAAATTAAAATATAAAATTCAGAATGACCAAAAAAATCAAAATAAATGTTGATTAAAATTGGACCTCCCTCTCCAGAAGGGTCAAAAATTAATATGAGGGAGTAAAATTTGGGTCTGTTAATAATATTGTAACGACTTAGTCAAGATAGTGCTATGACTTAAACATCTTATCCTAATGCAGTATCTATTATCAATTTTATCTGATTTGTTCCTGGTTAAGACAACGTCCCAGACAAAATACAACAGAGGTTCGACTTAGGCGCTGCTACGATTGAGGCAGTGGTACGACTCAAGCAACCTTACCCTATTACACTATTTATTATCAATTTATCAATTTTCAGATCCGATTCATCCCTGTTTAAGAAAACGTAGACGAGTATAATATTTTGCGCATTGCGCATGGAGCCGCCGACTCCCGTCTGTATCGATTGCCTCCCAGGAGATTGTCGCAGGAGGCGCAGGAGGCGCAGGAGGCAGGAGCAGAACAAGGGACGACGAATGCATTTTCATTTGACTCAGGTCTGGGTTTTCGTCCGTTCCAGATCAACAACTTGGATACGTGGACTTGGTAATTGAATTACAATTTAGAAACACACAAGAAAAACATTTCTTCCTGAAAAATTTATGAATGCAGTAGAACCTCAATTATCCGGACCTCAGTTATACGGATTCGCGATTATCCGGACTACCAACCGCGACTAATTTATATGCATCTACATTAGGGTGATCCTTTAAATGGTCATTTGTCAAAATTTGTCAAAATCATCATTTTTCCAAATAGATAAAAAACAATTCTCTGAAAGTTTTAGCTCTTAATATTAACGTTTAGATAGAGCGCAATTCAATCAAACTTTGTATGGAAAGAGCATGGAAAAAATTTTGAAAATTGAAAAAAATGTTTTAGGTATAACTTAGCGACAAATGAATGAGTTTTATTCATACATTTGTTTGCTAAATTACATCTAAAAAACATTTTTAAAATTTTTGAAAATTTTTCCATGCTATTTCCATACAAAACTTTGATTGAATTGCGCTCTATCTAAACGTTAATATTAAGAGCTAAAACTTTCAGAGAATTGTTTTTTATCTATTTGGAACCATTTGAGCCCCTGAGAGCAAGAAAATTCAAAAATGGCCATTTTAAGGACCACCCTAATCTACATACCTACAATTCGAATTTTTACATGATTATTGGTGCAATTTAGTATAATGTAATCGAAGAAAATATGTATGCACATACATAAGGAAGTTTCAATTTCTTAATAAGCTATTTTCGTTGATATCTATGTATGTATTTGTTTTTTTAATAAATACACAAAATAATTCTTCATACATTCGATTATCCGGATTTTCTATTATCCGGATGCCTATCGACAACAATTAGTCCGGTTATTCGAAGTTCTATAGTAATTCAATTGGAAAAATATTTATTTTATTTTTCTAAAATCCTTATTAACTTTTCCAAGAAATTTGTTTCTGCTAGAAAATCTACTATTCTAAAAAAATGCTAGTTGTAGAGTGAAATATAAATTTACTTTATAGTAGTATAGTTAGTGTATTAGTATATAGTATATAGTAGTAAAGTATATTAGTTTATTATTAGGATATTAGTAGAGTATATAAAATATTAGTATAGTATATTAGTATATTAGTATAGTATATTAGTATATTAGTTAGTATATTAGTATATAATATATAGTAGTATAGTAAAGTATAGTATAGTTAGTGTAGAATATAAATTTACTTTCTATTTTTTTTAATTTCTTAGTTTTAGAATTTGAGAGATCTACAATAGCGAGAGAAGTTTAAACAGCATTATAAAAAGTATTACTTATTGAATATTCTAATAAACAAATAAAATAAAATTAACAAAATAATCAACTAAGTATGTACTAATTATACTGTCTCTTTGTGCTTACAATTTTTTTATATTAAATATTAGCTTTTTTGACAAACTTTGCTCATAAAGATGCAATTTTTGTTTAATATAATCGCATAAGAACTAGAAGATATATAAAAATATAAGAATTTTAACAGAATTGTGAAATACTTTATCAAAGTTATTTAAATTGCACAAGTATGATTGTTATCTATAGAAACTATTATATTGAACTTGAAAAACTATTATATAAATCTTAAATTTATAGATACGAGAAAAATATATTCTATACATACAACATGAATTTACATTATTAACTTAAATTTACATGATTATATAAATAAGCTTTAGTCTCAAATTTAAATTTAAATTTCCCGCCTGCATCAAACTTCACTTTGCAACAACTTCATGGCAATCAATCAAGCCGACATTGTTCAACTCCTCATATGTCATTCGCTTAACCTCTTTTATAGAAGCCGCAGTTTAATTATATATAAAAATGTATTATTGCAAAAGATAGTAGTTATATGTTGCCACTGATTTATATTTAGAACCCCAAATGTAAGTGCAAAGATATTTTATGTAATTATTGTAAATAATTAGCGATATTTTAGTAAAAGTGTTTAAACTTTTTGACCAACTGTCACTCATTATTGAAAATACAAGTTTGTGGGTTTAATAATCGTTAAATCAATATGATTATGTTCAAAATGAGTCGGTTTTTATTATTTGTATATTATTAATTTTTTATATTAAAACACATCATACATTTTCTTATAATTTAGCCACATTTTTGGTCAGTTGCTGTTTTTAAAATTGTATTTGCTCTCAATGTTAACACGATGCAATATTTATTTTTATTATAATTTTATATCCAACTGCATTTTCTTTCAGAATACTTATAAGAATTTTTTCTTAGACATAAGAAATGTCTAATCAATCAGAAACTATTTCATCTAACTCTCACAAAAAATGGGGAGGATTTGAAGATGCTCCTGAAGAAGACGAAGATTGTGCGCTTGATATACCTATAGATAACTTAAATGAATTAATTCAACAAGCGATGCAACCTGATGCATTAGGAAAAGATGTATCCGAGGATTTTGTCTCTGATAGAATACAGTAAGAATTTAAAACTTAATTAAAACTTGACTTAATTTTAACTAACTTCTATTTATTTATTTATTATTGTAGGATCAAAGTTGGTTGTCCAAGAGTTTTAAATACAATAGATTTACAACAGTATTATTCCCACATATTACAAATGACTGACGATGTGAAACAAAGGCTTGGAAAGCTGGGGGTAAAATTAAAAATTTATACACAATAAATTATATATAATTAATTATAATAATTATATATTATATATAATTCATTTTATTATGCAGGTTAATGAAATCGAATCCGTGCCTCCCGCCCCTGAACTACCTCAACCAGTGCCTGCAAAATATAAACCAAACTGTCTGAACTTTATTCATCCATTAGAAACTGATTTCACAAAAGGCATTCCACAACCTGTACCTGAAATTGATCAAAAAACATGTCGTGTATTACTTAGGCAGAGTATTTTGTTATTATTGGCACAGATTGGTTACACAGGTAATAGAAAAATAAAAAAAAGAGTGCGCGTAAGGATCACACGCGATTGAAGTAAAACTTTTAATATTGTATGAGTAGGCAATTAAGATAAAAATAAAAAAACATCATATTTGAATTTTAAAAATCATTTATTAATAATCACATAACATCAATAACACAGTTTAAAACAACAGCGATAGATTAATTGCTATCATATTTCGTATATGATATAATAGGTCTGTGATAACTGAAATGAGAGACATAAATTTTGCTTTGTAAACTATGTACATTTCTGGAGAAAACTGCATCAATAGTCGTGCCATATCTTGTGGTTGAATCAAATGGAGAATTATTCATTGTTAAATTAAATTTATTATTTAAAAAATCAATTAATGGTTGAGATTCTTCTGAACGAAAATTGACATTGAAATCTCCAGCAAGAATTAATGGTATCTCGTTGTGATTAGTGTTTAAAAATTTTGCACCCTCATTAGAAAAATGAAGTAACTGCTGATGAAGAAATTCAATAATATTTGATATGTTTTTATTGGGAGAAATTTAAAGGACGACTATAATCAATGTTTGATTCTGTGTGTTCACACAGCGGACAACTGCAATATCACCTACTTGTATAATTTCATTAGGAATATCCAGTAATATTGTTGGCGCAAGAAACTGCATAGAAGTGGCATTATGAAGAGTATCTGAACATGAATGATATAACAGCTACACCACCTGCTCTTGAGTTTGATCGTTTGTATTGAGTAACGCAGTAATAGTTCTAAATATCAATTTGTTCTTTATTATTAATCCAAGTTTCCGAAAATAACAAAAACGTACAACGTTGTAGCACTTTATCTTGCAGATCAGGCAAATGAGCTCGTAAACTTTGGCAGTTAAAGGAAAACAATGAAATGTCGTTCAAACTTATTATCTCACTCAATTTTTCTTTTTGTGTTATTAATCTACAAGTTGAAAGTCTTTGGAATTCAGTTTGTAAGTCCATTAATCCTGCTGGCCATTTTCTTCCATGATAAATTTTTTGTCGTTGTTTTAGAAATGATGAACAATCCATTAATGCTGGTAACTCGTGATAATGCAACATATAGAAGCTGCTGATTATGTGTTTTATTGTATTCATATACAATTTCATCAAAATATCTTACCAGGAAATTCAAACCATAAACGTAGAAGTTCATCATTATCGCCACGTTCTATGTACACTAATTTTCCTACACAACCATTAGCTAAGCCATCACTTACATCAATATTAGTTGTTATTATGTAAAATTTATTCAGAACTAAAATTATTCAGAACTAAAATTATTTCATACGGCAAACCCCCGGTATCAATAACCGATTTTTTTGAAACTGCTGACGAATGTATGATTGTTGATCTGTCGCATGGCAACCTACATAAATATCCGTGGCAGTAGATATTATTTTGTCTTCGAGATTCAATATAAATTTATTATATTCCATGACACAATTATTCTCTAAGAAAAGTCTTATTCCATGAGGACATAATACAGCAACCTCTTCTTTTGTAAAAAAAACGTGATTCAATTAATGCAAGTTCATATAGGGTTCAGCGCTCGACTTACGCATGACATGACGGGAGTGGATACTCGCGACATCAGCGCTTACGGCGTCGTAGTGTTCAACTACACGTTGGCGTTTTCGTTGCATTTGTACGGATTTACACCCGTGTAGCCTAAAGAAATTTTTACACCCATATCGCGCCTAAAGAAGTTTTACTTCAATAAAGCTTATATGTGAATTTGTAATTTTTATTTATTTTTGTTGTTGCAGAAGTGCTGGATAATACATTAGATACTTTTGTTGATGCTGTAGATGAATATTATAGAAATTTATTAAGAATACTTCACTCTAAGATGGATTGTGCTCGTAAGGGATATTATACTCAATTTTGTGTAAGTTTTTGTTTAAATATTCTGAATTAATTTCACTTTAATTTTTATGAGGCATTGGTTTTAAATTTTTGTTGTTCTATTTTTTTAGGATATTTATGAACATTCTCTGCAAGACGTTGGAGTAGGTGGATTCAATGGAATTAAAAGATATTATAATCACTTTGTTATCGATTATGAAACTCGTGTGTACAAGTAAGTTTTTATTTTCAATTTATTAAAAATTAAATCAGAAATTAAATCAGAAATTAAATATGAAACTAGGTGAACCTGGCTTTTTGCCTTTATGCAAGTCTAAATAAAAACTTAATAAAGAAATAAGTTGAATCAATATTGCAACTATGACAATAACATTTGCAATTTATAGTTTTTTTTTCTTTTCAGAAAATGCGTGAAAGCCCGCCAAGATCTCTTAACCCTTATCGAAACCCCTCCTAAACCACCTGGAACACGCCGACGACGTAAACAAAGTCTGGAAGAAACAACAGACCACGATTTTACATTCGGTTACGGTTCAAATTTAGAAAGTTTTATACCATCTGTAGCCTCAAGTTCCACCAGCTCTCGAAACGAAGTGCCTGTTCTACATTTACCGGAGGACGATTCGAGTTATGTAGGTGACAATTTGTATGAACTTATACCAGATGTTGAAATTACGGATGGGGGCTCTAATGCCAGTGGAACAATTGGTGGAGATGCTAAAAGTGGAGCGGAGAATGCTGCTCAGGCTGGGAGTAGTGGGTGAGTGGATTAAGATGGTTTTATGCATGGGGTTATGGTTTTATAAAAATTATTTTGGTGTTTTCATTGTTTTGTTGTATCGTTCATCACAATTACATTCATTAACTTCCCGTAGGGCAAGTTATAGCAATCGGAAAAAATCGAAAATGAAAATTTTTATATATCTTTACGTTTCAAAGGTTTCTGAACATTTTGGCTGAACACACACATACATCCGTCCACGTTTTGGTCAAAAATTCTGAATCGATTTAAAAAAATCAAAAACCATTCGAAAGACATTATTTGGGAATCGCGTTAACTAGTTTTGGACAAAGATCGGCCGGGCCGTTTCTTCGTAATTACCTGTTAAAATTTTTTTTATAAAGTTTTTTATATTGATTGACTTCATGGTCCTGAAGAACATACTAAAATTTTACTGTCCTGCAAGTAGTTTATTTTAAAAATTTATCAAAGTTTGAAAAAAAATGATGTCAAAAAATTTGTGCTAAAAGTCTTTTTTGTGATGTGATCAGCGGAAAAATAAGTCTACAAAACTTCTCTAGTGGTGTAAAAATGTTACCATTAATTTAAATTATTAAATATTTATATTTATAGTGAAAATTTTATTTAAATATCTAAATTCAATTTCGTTTGATCAAGTCAATTATTACACATTAAGGCAAAATGCCACTTTTAACAAGTTATATTTAAGTGATTTGATAGTTCAGTTATTTAGGTATTTATGGTATGTATTTAGTAAATTTTAGTATATTCCAGAGATTTGTTTTATTCTTACAAGGTGTGAGCTTTTGCCATAATTCTCTAAAGAACGGTTCATTCATAAATCATATCAGGCATCATATTATAACAAATTTTATAATTTTATTAGTTCCTTCATCATTGGCTTAGTTTGGTGTTTTTTGTGCAATCTAATTTTAAGTGAATAGAGCTGATTCAATTTAATTTAATAGATTTATTAAGTTAAATAAATTGAGTCTTTTTCTAATGTGCAGTTTGATGGGAATGGAAATGACTTCAGAAAGGGGACACACTGAAGATTCGACAACTGGATACTATGATGTAGAAGACTTATCTAATTATTAAATTATACTTTAATAATTACAATGAAACGCTGGATCAAGACTAATTATTGTATTATTTAATATCTATATAGCTGTGCTAAGATTTATTAGATTATGATTAAATATTTTTTTAGAGATAAAATTGTTATGGATATAAGTTATAATAAAATTTTAAATAAGAGACAAATTGATTTCTGTAAGTTTCTTGTATCATCTTAGTTTATAGATGGACATATTATACTTAAATTAATTGTTGCCGGAATAATTTATGGTTTCAACCATAATGGGAAAATTTATTTTGGTAAAAACAATTTTGTTACAATAACTTAAATTCTAGATACTCTAGTTTATTATTTAGTTCAGTAGAAATTAGAACAAAATTTAAGCATGTTAATATAAGTTCATTCAACATTTATTTATATTCAAGCAATGTCTTATAATCTAACAAAAATTCAAAATCCAACATCGAATGATTCCTGTTTTATTTTTTAAATAAACAGGCTATTAATGGTTGATTCAAATTCAGGCAGTGATTTAATTTCCTGACGTATATCTGGCAAGTGTATATTTGTGTCCATTATTGGTTCATCTTGTGCAATTTGCTGTTTTGGAATTACTGGTTCACAGTTGCAATCAATATCGCTTTCATCTTGGAAGGACTCGGATAAACCTGGGGAAGAAAAATTATTAATTTTGCCACATCATTTCCCAGTGAAGATCGAATCTTATTTTTGAAATGCTCTGCTGTTTTCTTGCCAAAACAGAATAAATTTATGCTCAAGTATAGCTTTTAGACTTATGAAAGAGCAAAAATTATCACTTTCGCCAGATGGAATCTGGTGCCAAACAGGAATGTCAACAAATCTATTATTACTTACGTCTTTCTCTATTTCGATATCCAGGAAGAGTTTCACATGCTAATCTAGTCCGCCTAGCATTTTCCTTCCTGGTGCGTGCATGGTCTACTAGTAAAGGAAGCGGATATTGGGCCCCTAACCTGCAGGCAGCACGCCTCTGCTCCTCACGAGACGCTAGCCAAGGTGCATGCACCAGTCTGGCTGATCGAAAACCACGCAAAGCTGGTACATACTTCCTGAGAAAAAGATATACATGCTAATAACATTTTCAAAAAGTTGGTTTGGATGTTTTCGTGGTACCTGATGTACTCTGCATCAGGATCAACTAATTTTCCAAGCGCTACTGGACATACAGAGGGTGCTGGTTTGCGAAAGAATGAGGAGCATGATAGCCACAACCAACTACCAGCATTTGTCGACCAGTCTGCATCTAATAGAAGATCTTCAAATACCTAGAAAACAATTTAGTGAGTGTTTATCATAATTATTTGAACTGATGATTTGCTCAGACAGTACTTTCATTCCTTCTTCCCAACTTATAAAAAGAGCTCCTTTGGTCAGAAAATCTATCAAGGCAAATCTTGCCAAGTGGTGAATCCAACCTTCACTTCTTAATTGTGACATGGCTGCATCTATCCATGGAAATCCAGTTTGGCCCTTCAGAATAATAATAAATCAACTTCGGTTGATAAAATTTTATTATAATAAAATTGAATCAACCGTTAATTATTATCTTACGTTTGCCCATTTTGCAAGAGCAGTTGGATCTCTGTCCCAAGGCGTTTGCAAACATAAAGGATTTCCTTGTACTCTATCAAAACGAGGATTGTCTGCTCCGCAGCAGTACAAAAACTCTCTCCATAAAAGAGGCATTACTGCTGGTGGTGGTTGAAGTAATGGTTTTGTTGCAGGAGCCAAATTAAAGTTGCTGTTTCCATTAGTTGATGGTAGGCGTTGCAATTCTGAAAAACGAAAAAAAAGAAACCCTATTGAAGTTTTTAAGCCCTTGTTGAATTATGTTTGTGAAAGTAGTTATGAATATAAAAATATAAAATCCATTGGATGAAAATATAAATGATTTATTAATTACAAAATTTTATGATAAAAAAAAAGACAAATCATTTTTTGTTTTTCGATGTCTCGCCAGCTTGGTTCCCCTGCACACTCCCTGTCCAGTGTTGACCTCTCTGTTAAAAAAAAAAAAAAACAGGGAAACACGTTATAAACATATGGTGGGAAAGCAGATTAAAGCAGTGTTGTGGTACTAGTCAATTATTAATTCATCATATGGAATAAATGACAGTTTTGTCGGCAGATCCACAGTATGGTAGGCAATTCGACCTTCCATCATCTCCATACTCTGCATATGGTTCTGAATATAAATCACGTGGTGAATTTCCTGAACCTCGATGTCTTGGTGAACTTCGAAGATTCAGCCTCGATCTACTGTATTAATTTTTATTTCTACAATATTTTGGGTAAACAAATGGCGCTCTGTAAGAATATGAATTTTCGCAATGATTAAAATAATCTTGTCGACTTCTGTAGCCCTTTGGAACATACATCGGATTCTCGAATCGGATGTGATTCGAAGGAGGGCGTATTAAAGAGTCATCATCTTGACAAGATGCAGTCCCAGTCTTATGGATCAAAAGACGATTTGATGAGTTAACGGACAAGGAGAGGTTGAATTGCGATTCCAATGAATCATTTGATAATGAATTCAATTTTTTGACCCAAAGTCTAGGCTCAGAATTCATTTTAGTGTCAGCAATAAACACTGAGGTCTGGGTATACAAAATGGGTGTACCAACAGAAGTCCGGTGTCAGTAGAGTAAATGAGTTAACTCGCGATGAGCCGAGGAGTTGATGTACTTTATAAGTAGTCGCGGAAGACCAGTAGTTATGGTGCTTCATCAAAGTCTACATTTTTTTAAATTTCCGATTCATGCTCTTTCTCTGTCTTCATCACGTCATGGTCACCAGTGTGGAAAAATAGTTATGTATATAATTATATAAAAACAATTTGATGAAAATATAAACTATTTATTGACATTTAATGACAAACTTTTTTTTGTTTTTCGATGTTTCGCCAGCTTGATTTCCCACATATTGGAGATATTCTGTACGCAGCCTAGGAAAAATCAAATAACCACTTCTGTGATCAGATAAGTCAAAGTAGATGGTCAGATCGTCAAGCTAAAATATAGTTAGTTTGCACCACAATAGATGGAGAATAAAAGGTAGATCCAGTTGCTAGAAATATCAACTGAAGTCATCTTAGTCGTTGAGAAATATGTAAGAGAACTCTATCGACTTTTAGGACAAGAATGCAGATGATTGATCGTTTTATACGAGAAAACATGTAGAGACTTTGTGGATAAATTTAAAGACATTATCTATTATCTATACCTGCTAATTGATGATAGCACAGTCTAGCACTCAAGCACCCGAACCTTAGATACGGCGATAAACCTGCACCATCAGCCAACAGAAATCCTGGGGGCAAAGTGTCAAAATTTGGAGACGAATTCAGAGCCAGAGTTCTTTTTTCAGCATGCCTTTCCAGACGTGCTAAAGCTTCTGCTTCACCTCCACGCCAAACTGGCGGTTCAGAAGAATTAGCTTCAAAACCTGAGGAGAAGAAAAAAAATTTATAAATATAAATCATGTACAACTTTGTATTTTTTGTTACCAAGTTCGGAAAGTGTAGGCACTGCGTAGGATTGGTCGTAGTCTGGATCTGTGGGTACTCTGGTTCGAGTAGTAAAAAGGCGGTCGCGCCTGACTGGTCCTGCTGGAGGATCTGGAGGACCCATTGTAGTTAAAACTCCCAAAAATTGTTCGAAGGTGACTGGAGCTGATCCTCCGTTGTGCTCTATAATGCTAAACAACAGTAAATGATATGATAAATATTGCACAATAAATAGAATTTTTGGGTGAATATAATTTTTTTACCTGTCCAGTGGATACAAAGTATGAGATTCGTACTCCACGATTTCAACACCATTATCCCTGCACCTTGCGGCCAATTTGCGGTCTCTGGCCCTGCCATAGGGCTCCGGATCAGTTTCGTAACTTAGCAAAGTGACCCCCCAACGTTCCAGCAATGCTGGAAGAGCATCAGCTGGTTGACCACGTACTACGTGAAGTCGACAATCCAGACGAGATTTTAGTGATGCATCTAAATCGGTTAGGGATTCTAGAAGAAATCTGAGAAATAATAGAAAATAATAAGTAATTCAGTCAATAGGATAGATACAGTTTTTGGATTTTGAATTTTTGGTTCATCAGAGTTTGGAATTTAGTGAGCTATTGGTCAATAATATATGAATATAAATTTTTGGTTATGGCGTTGCTATATTAATTTGCGATGGTATATGATAGAATTGAAACTATTCTTCAACACATTCTCTGATGCGCACGCATATGTTGCGTGAGACCGTTGTCAATAGCCAGGTTTCGCTTTCCTTGCACCTTAGAGTAGTGATTTTAGTAAAATAATATGTATAAGTATAATTTTTTGATAATGAAGCACAAGCAGAGCAAGCAAACGACTTAATAAAGGTGATAGATATCTAGATTACTATTTTTATATAATTTTTAAGTAACTACCTCCATTTATTAAGGGCATTTGCCCCAGCTCCTCTAGCGGCCCAGGGATCTAGAATATAAAACACATCTTAAAGTGTCGGCGCCTTTTAGTGCCTCCAAAAGTGCGGGGTTGTCATGGAGACGTAAACCGCGTCGAAACCAATGCACGGCATGTTTTCCAGGAACGACTAACATTAAGAGATAATTTAAAGCTATTTTTATAAATATTTAATTAAAAATTATATGAAGTTAAGAAAACACTTGATTTCAACTTCTAATCCAAAATTTACAATTAAACACCTAGTACACTTGGATATTAATGTTTTGAATATTTTTTTTTCTTACCTTCTTCTTTAGAGTCCACTTCCATGCTTTTTATATGCACTAAATCAACTCTTTATTAATGTATATTTTTATTAATGAAATTTAAAATTAATATTGTTAATATTAGTTCATTCAGTTTACCAGATTTATTTATTTATTTATTTATACGCCAATTGGCTTACCGGAATTCAGTATGATTTATTTTTAAATTATCAGGTATTTCCTTGCAAAACGGTTTGTTACTGAGAACATTCATATATAATTTCTATGAAG